TTCTTCAGAAGTGTTTTTCAGTGCCTAAAAATACATCCCATAAACAACTTGTTTTATATTATGCACTCAAGAGACAAAATAGACTTTGGGGAAAAAATAACATATTTGGTTTACTCATGACCTTCAGGTGTTCAGCATACACAGGTACACAGCTTATCAGTCCAGTTACAGATATGTTTGAGATAGTCTCTGTGCCATTTGGTCAGAACATCTCTCTTATAATCAACAGCAGGGAAGTGTTTGCAAGTCTGCGATCTGAGCAGTCTCAAAGTCTAAAAGAACTGTGCTTGTCTCAGAGCGGATCATGTGGTCTGCAGCCTCTCCCACAATTTCTCAGGAAAAAACATAGAGCAAGGAAAGAAAAGCTGCATACGAGAACATACATACAATAAGTAAGCCATAGGATTATAAACAAGTTACGAGAGGGGGCTTGAAGAAGGTTGTAATTTCCACCATATTATTCATACTTTTGTGCACAAAACAGTGTTTATACACACCGAAACACCCAATATCTTAGCCACTCAAGTGGACAATTTTGGAGAATTTCAGTTTTAAGGATTTTCGAATAAAGGATGTAACATTTATGGGAACCCAATAACTGGAATGAATGTGGACGTTCAAATATTCCTGAACCGCAGCTCCCAATATTCCTCACCATTTGCAATACTGGATGAGGCTGCTGGGAGTTGTAGTTCAGCAATATCCCGGAGTGCTGGGTGGTCCTCGCCTCTCTTTTCTGTCAATCCACAAAGAGCACGGCCACAGTATTGTACTTTTTCAATGGGGAGCCTTTTTGGCTTTGTACCTTGCAGACAGCTTTGTGGGTTTCTCTCCATCTTGGCTTACTTTTTAATGAAGTCAATCAGCTAAATGCGAAAAAAAATGAATAGATGTTATTAATCTTTCTTTAGAATCCGTGTGCGATGTGTTAGCAGGTCTCGTTCCTAAGGAAACAGATGAAAGTTTTGCAAGAAACTCTCCTTTCCTTGGGTTTTTGAGGTGAACAAGAGTGCCTTTCAGGCAGCTTGTTTGTGATACAAAAGCACACCATTGGGAGCGAGTAGTTAGTGAAAATTGAGTTGTTTGCTTCTGGGCTTTAATGGGTTTGATCTTCCTTTTTGGAAATAAAAGGAAGAAAAGGCAGACCTGCAAGTTACAGGAATTATACCAATCACAAAACTATTCTTTGGCGGGCCAGACGCAGAATCCATTCCAACAAAATTGTAGGTCTCTTCCCCATTCCCATCTGTCTGGTCAATCAGATGTTTATCATTTACATGTTCTTGCAGAACAATAGTGAAACAGGTTTGATTATTCCACTGCAGGAAAGTGGCCTTATATGCAACCATCACCCATTTATGCTGACTCTTAATTTATGTTTTATCTAAACATCGGTCCATTTTGTCTCTATACCTTAGTGCAATATGTGCATATATTTTTTTCAGGAATTGGTTATTATTAGCACTGGCTAAGACAAACATTTCATTCCGCAGCAACAAATGGGAAGTTGTCTGCTGTGGTTGTTTCACTTCCTATGGGGCATATTATGGACAATAAGGGCCTTATGGGAGAATAATAATAATAATAATAATAATAATAATAATAATAATAATAATGAGGAGGAGGAGGAAGAGGGTCATATCCTCAGCTGTTGCAAGAAAATTTCACAGATGGACTACAAACAAAGACACAACTCTGTGGCCCAGATGATTCACTGGAACTTATGTCACAAGTACCACCTGCCAGCAGCAAAGAATTAGTGGGATCATAAACCCGCAAAGGTAATGGAAAATGAACATGCAAAAAATACTGTGGGACTTTCGAATCCAGACTGACAAAGTTTTGGAACACAATACACCAGACATCACGATTGTGGGAAAGAAAAATGTCTGGATTATTGATGTCGCCATACCAGGTGACAGTCGCATTGAGGAAAAACAACAGGAAAAACTCAGCCGCTATCAAGACCTCAAATCAAACTGCAAAGGGTCTGGCATAAACCAGTATAGGTGGTCCCAGTGGTCATTGGCGCACTGGGTGCTGTGCCAAAAGATCTCAGCCGGCATTTGGAAACAATAAACATTGACAAAATCACGATGTGTCAACTGCAAAAGGCCACCTTACTTGGATCTGGACGCATCATTCGAAAATATATCACACTGCCCTAGACGCTTGGGAAGTGTTCGATTTGTGATCTGGTGATACAAAATCCAGCATATGTATCTCATTTGCTGTGACAGACTATGTTTTTGTGTCAGAATAATAATAATAATAATAATAATAATAATAATAATAATAATAATAATAATTGAACCTTCCCTGCCCACACGGAAAATGGATAAAGACCTATCACTATATATTTACTTCATTTGTATACTGCTTTTCTCACCCCAGGGGGGACTCAAAGCGGTTTCCAACATATTCACAGCAAAATTTATTGCCTCACAAACATATCAAAACCTATGTATTGTCGAAGGCTTTCATGGCCGGAATCACTGGGTTGTTGTAGGTTTTTTCGGGTAGAGGCATTCTCTCCTGACGTTTCGCCTGCATCTATGGCAAGCATCCTCAGAGGTAGTGAGGTATCAAAACCTAACTTAAAAGAACAATAACATATAACTATCAATTAAATCATAAAATGTAACAACATTTAGACATTAAAACATGGAGTTTAAAACATATTAATATAAACATTAAAATCACATAATCCAAAAATCATAGTCCAAGGGCATTCCAAATATCAATTGCATATAATCCCTGTTCGTTCCTTGCATTGCTTACTGCTCAAATGCTTGGCCCCACAGCCATGTTTTTGCTTTTTTTCTGAAGGCCAAGAGGGAGGACACTGATCTAATTTTGTTGTGGAGGGAGTTCTATAGGTAAATTTCCAGCCAGCTTAAAACAAGCTGTTATAAAACTGCTGTTGAAAAAACCATCACTGGTTCCCACTCAATTAGTCAACTATTGGCGAGTTTCCAATCTTCCCTATTTGGGCAAAGTCGTGGAATGTATGGTGGCTTCACAATTTCAGGGATTCCTGGTAGACACTGATTATCTAGATCAGGCACAATCTGGCTTTAGACCAGGACATGGGACTGAGACAACCTTGGTCGCCTTAGTGGATGATCTGCGCCGGGAGCTCGACAGGGGGAGTGTGTCCCTGTTGGTGCTGCTGGACCTCTCAGCGGCCTTCGATACCGTCGACCACGGTATCCTTCTGGAGCGCCTTGCGGGGATGGGTCTCGGGGGCACTGTTTTACAGTGGCTCCGGTCATTCCTGGAGGGTCGCTCCCAGAAGGTGTTATTGGGGGACACCTGTTCAACCCCACAACCCTTGTCGTGTGGGGTTCCTCAGGGCTCAATACTGTCCCCCATGCTGTTTAATATCTACATGAAGCCGCTGGGTGAGATCATCCGGAGTTTCGGGGTACGGTGTCATCTGTACGCAGATGATGTCCAACTCTGTCACTCCTTTCCACCTGCTACTAAGGAGGCTGTCGAGGTCCTGAACTGGCCGCTGTAACGGTCTGGATGAGGGCGAACAAATTGAAATTGAATCCAGACAAGACAGAGGTACTCCTGGTCAGTCGCAAGGCCGAACAGGGTATAGGGTTACAGCCTGTGCTGGATGGGGTCGCACTCCCCTTGAAGGCGCAGGTTCGCAGCTTGGGTGTGACCCTGGACTCATCGCTGAGCCTGGAGCCCCAGGTCTCGGCGGTGACCAGGGGAGCATTTGCACAGCTTAGGCTCGTGCGCCAGCTGCGCCCGTATCTTGGGAAGTCTGACTTGGCCACGGTAGTCCACGCTCTGGTTACATCCCGCTTAGACTACTGCAACGCTCTTTACGTGGGGCTGCCTTTGAAGACGGCCCGGAAGCTCCAACTAGTCCAACGTGCGGCAGCCATGATGCTAACAGGAGCGGGACGTAGGGAGCATACAACCCCCCTACTGTACCAGCTCCACTGGCTGCCGATCTGCTACCGGGCTCAATTCAAGGTGCTGGCACTGGCCTATAAAGCCCTAAACGGTTCTGGCCCAAAATACCTTACTGACCGCCTCTCGGCCTATGAGCCCACGAGGACTTTGAGATCTTCCGGGGAGGCCCTGCTCTCGATCCCGCCTGCCTCACAGGCACGGCTGGTGGGGACGAGAGATAGGGCATTCTCGGTGGTGGCTCCTCGGCTGTGGAACAGCCTTCCCGTGGACATCAGGCTAGCCCCCTCCCTGCTAATATTCCGCAGGAAGTTAAAGACCTGGCTATTTAAGAAGGTATTTGACCAATAAGTGCAATGACTAGCAATTGACCATAGGAATGGAACACTGGAAAAGAGATCGGATTGTGGCTTGACGATGAGACGACTCGGAATGTAGTAGTGATTTTGTAGTGATGTTGTTGTTTGATAAGACGTTTTTATGATTAGGATGAATTGTACACTGTTTTGTACTATGTCTTGTTTTCTTGCACTTGTTTTCTTCATGTTGTACACCGCTATGAGTCGCCCTGAAGGGCTGAGAATTGCGGTATATAAGTGCAGTAAATAAATAAATAAATAAATAAATCTCCACGCTCATAGAAATCCATGATCCCTATATCTAAGAAATGAGCGCCGATGCAGTCTATCCAATGCAATTTTCTGAATGGGCATCTGAATCAGCCCAAAGAACAGGCCTAAAAACCAAGAGACCAAGGATTTTCTTTGTTGGGCTGCTTTGAGAGGCTGCACACGAGCTAGGACAGGCTGAGCGGTTTGCTTTTGCCTAGATTTACAGGGAAACACAGCAGATTTCCCCCTCTTCCTATCTCCTTCTGCTGAATTAATCTGAGTGCAAAATACATATATTTTGATCTTAAGGCTTTACTGCATTCTAAGTATATAGCACTATTGGAGGATTAATTGGGACTGTCCCTGGAATGTTGGGCAAATGGAGGCTATGTGATGCTGTCTCTGTGTGTCTGGTTAACCATGCCCTTTTCCCTTCCTTCCTTTCTGTATATCCAGCCTTCGGAGTAACTCCATAGGACCCAAAGGAGCCAAGGCAATCGCTGATGCACTGAAAATCAACCAGTGTTTGCTTTCCTTAAAGTAAGTGAGCCTTGATTTCCTTAGATCTGTGATTGTTTTTTCCTGTAGAAGAGAGAACCACGTAATCAAATCAGTGGAATTTGCAGCTCTGTTGACTTGCAGGACTTCTACAGCTTTTGTAGGCTTACTCTAGTTTTGACAATCAAACATTGAGCCTTGAATCTTTAATCTGAGATTGGCAATTTTGTTCAGTTCTCCAGACGTTGATAAACTGCACCTTCGATCATCCAGTCGTGAGGAATGGAGAGGAGAAGCAGGAGGAATAAAATATAATAGATGAAAAAGACAGCTCAGGCTCGACATAGCATTGTCCATGTCATGCTATGGGTGTTTATTGTTATTATTATTATAATAATTATATTTATTTATACCCCGGTTTCTCTCTTCTGCAGGAGATTCGAAGAGGGTTGACGTAAAAGCATTAATATACAATTTAAAATATACAAAAATGCAAATGTTAAAATAGAATTAAACCCAAGCAGCATTGAAAATAATTCCCAGTTAAAATCCATCAAAAGTCTTGGTCATACTGGCTGGGGATGATGGGAACTGTAATGCAACACGTCTGGAAAAGTGTTCGATTCAGGAAGGGCGATTTAGCATAATGTGGAAATTGGGTCATTCTGCACTGCTGAAGGTGAGAAGTGAATATGGAGATGAATGCAAATTTGGCACAGCTCTCAGCAGAGGCAATATCCGATTCACTTCACAGCAATCTATCACAGGGTTGGGAAAAACTTTGAAGTGATTTTTCTACTTCTTTTCTTTCTCTAGTCTTTCTTCTTCTTCTTCTTCTTCTTGCAGCCTCCAGAACAACACAATGAAGGAGGACGGGACCAAATGTCTGGCGGAGGCACTGGTCAGCAACCATACGCTGATGACGCTGCAGTACGTGTCTTCTCTACTCCATCAGTTTCCTATCCCCCCTTATGATTTTGGATTCAACCCCTTATATGTCTTTCTAAATTGGTCTCCTACCCTTGATCTGCAGAAGGCATGGGCCAACTTTGGCCCACTCTCCAGGTGTTTTGGACTCCAACTCCCACAATTCTTAACAGCCTACCGGCCCATACCTAATATAGAGACCGATACAGGTCTCCTTCTCCTCCTCCATGCCTATTCATGATCTCCTTCTTTCCTTTTCAGACTTCAGAAGAACTCAATTGGACCCCAAGGCTCTAAGAAAATAGCAGAAGCCCTTAAGAAAAACTGGACTCTAAAAGAACTAATGTAAGTGCTGAGTGGGACTCAATAGAACCATGGGTCCAAACAAAAGGGAGGAGAGGAGGAGGAGGAGGAGGAGGAGGAGGAGGTAACACATGGCACACATAACACACGGAAGGAAGGAAGGAAGGAAGGAAGGAAGGAAGGAAGGAAGGAAGGAGGGGAGGGGAGGGAGGGAGGAGGAGGTGGAGAAGGTAACACATAGCACACACAATACACTTAAGTAAGTAAGGAAGGAAGGAAGGAAGGAAGGAAGGAAGGAAAGAGAGGAGGAGGTAACACATGGCAGACACAACACATGAAGTCAATATGGACAATATGGACCAAAGAGGGCCCATGACCTTGGCGAGCCGTCAGAGAAGCCTGATTCCAGCAATTTTATTGATATTAATAATTGAAATGAGACCCTTGCCAAGGCGAAGAAGTGGCACCGATGTTTATTGTGCGATTCAGCTGAAGCGGATGCAATTGCAGTGATCATTCACATGCAAGCATAAAGAAATACATTTGATACAGCCATTTATATAGAGTTTTCAAAGTTGCAGAGTTCAAACTTCCCGCCCCAGCCTCCCTGCCGCCCTCCACTGCGATTGGACAATGGGCGAACAGCTGGGAGGTGGCCCTCCGCCCCCGGTGCCTCCGGACCAATCAGGAAGCTCCAGCGGTCCGCAGGGTCCAATGGGGAGGCTTCTGCCATCTAGCGGTGATAGCAAATCAGAAAAGAGGGAGGCGGGATGAAAGGACACAAAGGAATCTATGAATGAATGTGAAAATAATGCCATGTGGCCGGCGAGACAAAGGGGAAATCTCAAGCCAGCCTGATCTATTGTGCTTTGAGTGGAATGGATCAACATGTGTAGACTGGGGTGATTGTTTCTTGGTGGAGATAGCTGAGTTAATCAGAGCGAAGGCAAAAGGTTTTTCGAAGACCTTTTGTCCTTCAGGAGGAAATATGATTAAGATTTTTGCCAAAGGGGCAATTCCTCCGAGGGCATGCAAAAGGAAGTTGTGGATAAAAAATTCCTGGAATGTTTGGGGCTTTGTAGTCCCTTTGGTGGAGTTTCTTCATGTATATAGGGGAAACAAAGGTCAGAAGAAAAGGGGAAAGGCTTCTGCCACACAAAGAAATCAGAAAACACATTTCATACATCTAAAGTTCATAAAAGGCAAGATTTCATAAGGTTTGTCCATGTGGGGGGAAAGAGTGTCCATAGGGGATGGCTAAAACGCAAGGGTGTTGCACAAAGGTCCTGGCAGGAGTTCTTGAGTGGCCCAAATGGACCTGGTGTCTCTGGAAACAAGCTTTGCTCCCCGTCCTTGGAGAACTACAGCTCCCGAGAGAGGCAGAGACCCTAAGGTCTAGCTATTCCCGAAGTTTCATGGCGTCCTCATTGTTGTTAAGGCCTTGGCAATTTGACCAAGACTTAACCCCTATTGTGCAGTCTGGTACCTTTGTCCTTTGCAGAACTATAAGTCACCATCCCTTGTTAGGGGGGGGGCATGCTCGACGTCACACATGGAAGGAAGGCAGGAAGGAAGGAAGGGGCAGAGGAGGAGGAGGTGGAGAAGGTAACACATGGCACATGCAACACATGGAAGGAAGGGAGGGAGGGGTGGAGGAGGAGGAGGTAGAGAAGGTAACACATAGCACACACAATACACTCAAGGAAGGAAGGAAGGAAGGAAGGAAGGAAGGAAGGAAGGAAGGAAGGAAGGAAGGAAGGAAGGAAGGAAGGAGAGGAGGAGGTAACACATGGCAGACATAACACATGGATGGATGGATGGATGGATGGATGGATGGATGGATGGATGGATGGATGGAAGGGAGGGAGGGAGGAGTAGAGGAGAGGAGGAGGTGGTGGTGGTGGTAACACATGGTATATGCAACACAGAGAAGGAAGGAAAGATGGAAGTCCCCAGAAAGTGCATGAGACAGAAAGGGAACACAACATAGTGCCAATATTCCCTCTTCTGTGAGCAAAAAGGTGTAATGGTAGAGCTTTTTCTCAAAGGGGCATTTTGGCTCCTCCCACAAATTGCGTAATTGTATCATTTTAAAGCGGAGAATGACAGATACCACCACATGACAGAATTGGCCATTTTGCCCATCTCTAGCCAGATAATTTGCAAAAAAGTCACTTGTCAAACAGCTTAAAAGGCATCTGAACAGATAACCCTTTGTGACATTTTTTGAATACCAAGATATCTCTACACTACGCTTGAAGCCTATGTCATAGGATGAACACAGCAGATGGTTGTTTCTTACGTGAGTGGTTCAGTAGTATTTAATGAATGTGATGATGATGATGATTATGATGATAATATACTTTGTCAACCTAGCAGTTCGAAAACATGCAAATGCGAGTAGATCAATAGGTACCGCTCCGGCAGGAAGGTAACGGCGCTCCATGCAGTCATGCCGGCCACATGACCTTGGAAGTGTCTATGGACAACACCGGCTCTTCGTCTTAGAAATGGAGATGAGCACCAATCCCCAGAGTCAGACATGACTGGACTTAATGTCAGGGGACAACCTTTACCTTTATACTTTGCAGCTAATATGTCCAAAAACAGAAGCTTGCCAAAACTCGACACATTTAATATAAGTAGCAGTAGAAGGGATTTGTATGTATTCTACAATTTCCATCATCATGCAAAGGAAACAAGTGTGATGCAGTAGAAATAATTTTAGCAGCAAAAGAAGCATTGCTGGTGTGCATTGAGTTGCTCTTTGTTGCTATTATCCTAGATTGTCCAGTAACTGCGTTGGAGACGTCGGTGCCATGGCCCTGGGAGAAGGGCTGAAGGTCAACTGCAGCCTTTTAACCCTGGAGTAAGCCATACTTTTGTTTCTCTCCATTTTATTGCTCCCTTCAATACGTCACCCCCCCCCCCCCCCAAAAAAAAAAAAAAAGCTTTTGGAGAGATACATAGCGCCAAGGCATTCTGGCAGAACAGCTTCTGCTCTGCTTCTATCATCCCAACTGTTTTCACATTGTCCCAGTTTCTTTCTCCTCCTCCCAGCTTATCTCAGTTGCTACAAACAAAGGTTCAAAGTAGTTTACTCTCATTTTACTCAGCCAAGCAGGGAAGAAAGGATTAGCTGTGTTGAACCTTACCCTTCTCAGTAGGTGTAGGCAAAAGCACATCTCAGCTTGTGTGCGCTTCCTCATTATCATGTCATCTCGATAAATCTGGATGCTGCTGTTGTTTATGGGTGAAATATCAAGAGAGGATGGAACACAGTGTCCATTTGTTAGGACTGAGTGGCTGCTGCCTTGCATCAAGCCAGTCCCTAGTGGGCTATTTAGCTCAATTCTCTCTTCAGAGGGTGCTTTCAGTAAGAACCAATCATCTCTTTGTTTTGTTTCGACTGTCAAAGAATACTGACAGTTCCCAACCATTGTTTGTTGTTCAGAACATCCTTCAAGAAAATCATCTTCTTTCCTGAAGGTATTTGTGGGTGTAGGAAAGGATATTTTGGCACAGGAAGCAGCACATTTTCTACAAAAATACTCATGTTTTCACTTTAAAGAAATCCTTAGCTGGATTGCTACCCAGGCAACTTGCGAAAGAAGTCTTCTCTCAAGGAGGCTCTCAACTTGATTGCTTCTCCTCCATGTTGGGATGCCTTTTCTTTGTTAGAAGAGCAAAGCCGACAAAGCCCGGGGAGCCATGGACAACTGTAGCAGCCTTTGGGCAAACTGCATTTCCCCATTGGTTTTGCAAAGCAGCTTCGAAGACTGTTTTCAGGCCCGACCTCCGTGATCTTTGCCAACATTCCTGCTTTTCAGAGGTTTATTTATTTACGACATTTATATGCCGCCCTTCTCACCCCAAAGGGGACTCAGAGTGGCTTATAAGATATATATATACATACAATATATTATATTATTAGCATAGAACAGTATCAGTATTATATATTACTATATTGTACTATACCATTATATTGTAATATTATTAGTAATATTACATGTAATATAAATATATAATTATAATATCATATTATTAGTATTAGTATTATTTCCTCCCAGTTTTGCAGTTTTGTTGTCACCATCCTGAGGATGAAGTGGTTTGGCTTGATAGAAGCCAAGTTTGGAAGGTGTAGGGGAAGGACACCCAATTTGCTACTCATGCATTCCTTGCTCCATTGCATACCTTCTGGTTGTCCCAATTGTGTAGGGAGAGTCCCAGTTAATCCTCTGCTGTTGCCCCACTTTTTCAGATGCCTTTGAAACATCCCAGTTTCTTCCCCTTTTCCTCCTTTACCTTCTGCTTTTTTTCAGTTGCTGCAAACTGAGCTCAAAGTGTAAAAGTAGTCTGCACTAGTTGTGTGTTCTCCCAATTTATAACTTTTACCATCTTGAGCCCATTCCGATGAAACACGTGCCATGTAAAGTGGTGGAAATGCCATTTGTAAGAACCAGCATGGCATCTATAAGCGACCTTTTGTGGCCAAGTGATTATTTTCTAAGGGTAGAGTCTTGGCGGTGGGTCCATCCATGACATTTATATGCCGCCCTTCTTCTGGATCTATATGATCTTTCCATGGAAGAAGGCGATCCCAACAAGGGTTGGCTTGATGCACTTTCTTCGTTTTGACACATTTCTCCCTTCTGCCCTCCATTTGCACCTCTTTGAATTCCACAGCATTGTTGGTCACAGCTGACCTCCAGTTAGATGCTCGGGAGCCAGGGCTTCCCAGTTTTCTCTTGGTGTTTATTCCACACATTTAAAGGTTAGCTTCAAGCCCATCTTTCACTCTCTTTTGCTGTCCACCGACATTCCATTTTTTGTTCTTGAGCTGAGAGAACAGTAACTGCTTTGGGAGATGCTGATGGGGCCTTTGGGCAATGTGCCATTCTATCCAGAAAAGTGGATGGTGGGGGATCATGGCTTCGATGCTGGTTGTCTTTGCTTCTTCTTCCAGAATGCCAATGTTTGTTCCCCTGTCTTCTTCTCCAAGAGATTGCCAGGAATTTTTGAAGACAAAACTGGTGGAATCTTTCTGAAAGTCAAGAGTGATGTCTGTAGACCAGACATGGGCAAACTTTGGCCCTCCATGTGTTTTGGACTTCAACTCCCACAATTCCTTTTCCCCCTCAGCTGCTTATAGCAGAAGGTATTTGAAGGCATACAATAGAGTTGGAAGGCCAATAGCTTTATAAACAAGCAAGTAGTTTGAGTGTCAGACTATGACCTTGGAGAACAGGGTCTGAATCCCTGCTTGGCCATGGGAACCTACTGGATGATTCCAGCCTTGGATAACCCATGATAAGTTTGCCTTAGGGACACCATAAGCCAGAAATGACTCAAAGGCACCTGATGGCATGCCATTTGCCCTGTTTTCTCTCTGTCATTCCAGTCTGCAGAGCAATTCCATCAGCGACGCAGGAGCAACTGCTCTCACACGAGCCCTTTGCGCCAACCAAGGTCTCACCAGACTCAGGTAAGTTTCTGACCTTAACGTTTGCTGTTTATGTTTTCTTCTTGGTTGTTTGGCAGTGATTCCTGGGGAAGGAACACTGTGGTTGCATTGCTTCTTTTCAACTTTCTAATTTTGAAACTTTCTGGACAATAGTTTCCAGTGTGACCCAACCAGGCGAGGCATTCTGGGGAATGAGGTATATAAAAAAGTAACTTTTCATCCATGAATTACCTGGCATAAAGAGTGTGTTATTTAGTGTTGCCAAAAAAGAAAAAAGAAAAGAAAGCAGAGCTTACGAAACATTCAGAGTCCTTCTTAGCATTTCCAGGTAAAGTAAACAAGAGGCTGAATTTCTCCGAAAAGGGAGTGGAACACCGCTGCTATCTGCAAGTATACAGCTTAGCAATTTTATTTTTCTTTGAACCTCACAAGGTGAATTGTAGCACACGACTGGTTGAACGCTGTGCTGAATTGTCACGGGGTTCTGCTTGTGGGTCTCTTCTCATTATTTTTGAGATAAAAATATCCCTTCTCTGATAGCAGCTCTTGGGTTTTGCAAAGATTCACCATTTCAGTGTCTTGGAGCCCCCTGTTCACTGGTATTTCTTTTCACACTTATGTATCTTTTTCAAGTCCTTTAAAATACGAATGCATATATGTGAACCCCTTACACATTGGAAGATCCATCTATCTATCTTCCAGTGTGCAAGGGGTGGTGTTCTTCTGCCTGTTTTATCTTTTCAGCAAACCTGGGATATAGCAGAGGGTGTCTGAAGTCTTATTGACAAAGGGCAATTTAAACCAATTTAAATCTGCCTCGGATTTTACACGTTTTGCTCTGAAGCAAAGGAAACATGGGTGCTATTTGTTCCCATTCCCTCTGTTGATGAACACAGGGAAAGATGCATAGCAACGGCATCCAGTTTGGTCTGAATGGGCCTGATCCCACCACTGCCCAGTCTGCCCCAAAGCCCCACGATACTTCCAGGTTCCCAGCAAATCCTAGAGTTTCCACCAACTTTGCTAAAAATGGGGCAAAGCCAGTTTAAATCGAAAAACACACTCATTGGAAGCCGCTGTGCATCCTGATAACAGCCATCATGAGGGTACCCTTGTGGTACTTTTTGTTTTGGCAAGCCCTGGATAGTGAGAAGCCATGTCCAGTAAGATTTAACCCTAAATGGGAACTTCAATCTTTGTTCCAATGTGGACACTCTGAGGCCAATCTTCCCTGCTGCTCTGGTGCTGGACTATCACTCCCAGCATCCACAGTCAGTCTTGGCTGTCCTCGTCTTCCCACTTGCTCAACTCAGTTGCAAAAATAGCTGTTGGCATTATACAAAATGATTACGTCTCCTGCTACTTTCCAGTTTTCCTTCCACTTGGGCCAGCAAGGGATTTGCCACAAAATAATTCTCCTTTGTGTTTTTAGCCTGCGGGAGAACTCCATCAGCTCAGAAGGAGCCCGGGAGATTGGCATTGCCCTTCGAGCCAACCGTTGCCTGAGAAATCTGGAGTAAGTCATTTGCTCTTTGAAAGAAAAGAGGCTCTTTAACCTTTGGTGCTTTAGAGCTTCCTTTAAAAATAGTAGCATTGGATGCACCTGGCAGGTTAAATACCTGCTGTGCACCCAGATGCAGAAGCAGGTCCATTATTAGGAAACACTTCACGTATGTTTAATTGTTTATAAGCTGAAAAATTCTTCCATTGATCCCAACCCTTCTGGGATGTGCAATGATGTTTCTCCACCTTTTTTCATTTGGTCATTTCTTGCATCCTCCTCAATGACAGGCGGACTTGCTGAATCTGTTGTCCTCCTGCAACAGATTCATTTGGGACCTAATGCCTCATTTTACCATAGGAAGGCTTTCTGGAAAGCTAAATGCTTTTCATGTGGAAAATCTGGGCATTTGCAGACTAATTATTTTGAGGCGCATTGCTTTGAAAACAAAAGAATTGAGGCTTAGAGGGAAATGACTTAAAAGCTGAATGAGATGCTTCTTCGATGAAGCCCCCAGTGCTGCAATGGGTTAAACCCTTGTGCTGGCAGGACTGCTGACAGATAGGTCAGTGGTTCGAATCCGGGGAGAGCAGGTTGAGCTCCCTCTGTCAGCTCCAGCTCCCCATGAGGGGACATGAGAGAAGCCTCCTACAAGGATGGTAAAACATCAAACATCTGGGTATCCCCTGGGTAATGTACTTGCAGATGGCCAATTCTCTCACACCAGAAGTGTCTTGCAGTTTCTCAAGTCCCTCCTGACTCACACAAAAGAAGATTCTTCAATGTCTTCACACATTTTCTTATCTGTTGATTAAACAGACCTTTTGGTGGAAGAGTGGGAAGATTTGGAATTGTTTAGCTTGAGATGCACACATTGTAACATTATTTCCCTGCCTTTGGCTTTGCTTCTAGCTTGGCTGCCAACTTACTGCACGATGAAGGCATCCAAGCCATTGCTTTGGCACTGAAAGTGAACCAGATGCTTACTTCCCTCCAGTAAGTTTCAGTGGATTATATTTGCATTGTTAAAGTGTGTGTTGTTAAAGAAGGGGGGTGCGAGACCTGCATTGTGTAAGGTGACACATTCTTTTAGGGATTCCCACTCAAGAACAGGACAGTTTTGCAGTTGCCGATACTAACTTTGCTATGCAGAAACGAGAGAGCTAGAAAACTACTGGAAATTAGTCACCTACATCTACTTCGCTACCCATTTTCCTCTTTTCATGATCTAAGAACTTGGGGGAAAATAGTTTTCTGGACAATGTATTGTTGAAGGCTTTTATGGCTGGAATCAATGGGTTGTTGTAGGTTTTTCGGGCTGTATGGCCATGTTCTAGAAGCATTCTTTCCTGATGTTTCACCTGCATCTATAGCAGGCATCCTAGAACATGGCCATACACCACAAAAAACCTACAACAACCCAGTTTTTTGGACAACTTCCAGGGTCTCCTCGCAATATCATTGTTAGGGAACACTTTGTATTACTTTTGCAAGAAACAGGAATGGTCCCACTCCTTGGGCAGGAGGAGCCTTGCCCACCCGACTCCCAACACTCATCCTATCCAGCAAGCACTGATAGCAGTCAGCTAGTTGAACCTACTCTAAAAATCTTCAGTAGTCATTGACACAGATGTTATATGGTACCAAAATGTGGGGCCTAGATAATAACACTTATAAAACCTTGGAAATATTACAGAACAAGTTCCTCTGTAAACTTTATTCTCTCCCAACTAGAACTCCCGCAGCATTTCTGCATGCCGAATCTATATGGTCATCAGTCAAGACAGAGTAGATTGTGCCCAATTAAGATTTTAAACTAATTGCCACCCTTATCAAGTAACCGTCTTTCAGCATTGTGTTACTTGGAAATAAGTAACCATCAACATTGGAAAATAAGTTTAAAAAATCTCCTACACAGCTACAACCTCTCCAAGTGGAAGTCTGCCTTGGACATGGATAAGAGGCAATTAAGAGACTGGCTATTTTGGACTGATTCAAGAAGGGCTTTGCAATCAGTCAGAAACATGAAATTCTCCCCATGGTCCCCCTTTGCAATTTGAACATTTTAGAGCCAGATATCTGACTAAACTGAAGCCATCCTCCTTAAGAATTGCCTTCACTGAACTGCGATTCCAAGCAATGCCCATCGCAGTGTTAGATGTGCGTTACCATCATGTGCCATTGGAAAATAGACTCCGCATCTGCAGCTAGTGTCAGATAGAGGACATTGTGCACTACATGCTGAACTGCCCTTTTAACATTTCCCAAGAGAAAGATATTTAAAATCCTTCCTGATAAAAGACAACGGCAACTTTCTTGTAGAAATGTTTCAGTTTTTGATAAGTGGGTACAAGTCAAAGTAAGAACTTGAATGAAAGAGTAATCACAAAGTAGAGGTAGATGAAAATATGGATGCTTTTGTCAGTAGCAACCACATAAGCTTCAGGGGAACCAGCTGCCAGTGAGGAGCGGTGTTGTGTTCCACATCTGTACTGGGAGATAATGTGGTGCTCTCTCTCTTTCTCTCTCTCTCTCCTAGTTTACAATGGAACTTCATTCAGTCCAACGCAGTGAAGGCTCTGAGCCAAGCACTACAATTCAACCACAGCCTTGAAGTCTTGGAGTAAGTCCCAGTTTCTTTCCAGCATTTTTTACAAGAAATGAAAAGGAAATATCTAGCTTTGAAAACCTTTTTGTTAAATGGTTCAATCTCTGTCCCAAGCGACTTTATTACACCAGCCTGTGGTCATTTGACTTATCAGCTCATTTAAGCAAATGGAAAGATACCAAATAATTCTTTCCACACCTCGCTGCGATTGCACTCTGCCGATACTTTGGTTATGTGAATGTTCATGATTTGCCTTCTGCACAAATCCATGTTCATTCTACGCAGTGCATGGGTCCGTGCTTTTGCTATTTTGTCCCAATTATTTATTTATTTACTTTATTTGTATACCACAGTTTCTCAGCCCGTAGGTGACTCAATTATGCAGTTGCTCAATTTCAGTGCTCTTGTAAGACCTTCGTTCACTTTGCAATAATAGGATTGCAGTGGAAGGAAATGATTACATGAGAAACACTGGGGGAATAACAGAGATATGGTATTCATTGATGGGTTTTCCCCCATTAATGAAAAAAGATGGTCCACTTTATGAAGCAGACACAGTGTTGTGTAATAAGCTCCAACCAATGGTATTTTGAATCCTGCTGCAATTTTGCTTTATCCCTGGTGCTTTCTGTGCTCAGGAATAAGGGAGCATTAAAAACTCCATCTCTACCTGCCGCTCAAACTGATGTAGTTAATTCTCCTCAAATCCAAAATGCCTTCTGCTTGTGGTTACTCCTTGCTGGGTAATGGCTCTGGTTTCTGAGAAAAACAAGAGTGTCAGAAAGAGTTTAATGGTTTGTGGATTTCTTTGGGCCTTTCAAGATAAGGGACTTTTTGAGAAACAAATATGCATTTGCATTGCTCGTCTATTTTGAATTATTGTCATTTTCTTTACAATAGCCTATCCGCGACAAGACGGTTCTCTGTAAAAATAATTTATTGTGCTTGGCAGAAATGCAACCTTTGCCTGCCATCCAGGTGAAATTTATTTGTCTGCTTGAGATGAAGAACAAAATGGTTTCTTTCCCCATCCCAAACTGGCTGACAATTGAATCTTCCTCCAGCAGAGTTAATGGGACAATAAAAGTCCATACTCAGTGGGGTTCACTCCCAGGTAAAGGCAATTAGGATCACAGGCCAAATGTTGTTGTTTTATTAGAGCCACGGAGCTCATTCTCTGAGCTCGGAAGCAACATGAATGCCTTCCCTTCCCTTCCATGATGAGATTATGTGAAGAACCCTGCTGAGTGAAATCAAAGGCACTTGCGGTCAAGGAAAAAAGAGATCCTGCTGCCATTGGATTTGTGTCAGCGGAATGTCAAAGGCAAGGAAGCGCCTTCTCTCCCATTAGTGGAGCCCCTTGGGGGCATCCAGTGATGCTGAATGAATGGTGGCAGCAGGTTCGGGAGAGCCCAAGAGGAGGTTTTCCTCGTGAAACATTTCCCTTAGTTATGGAATTCAGTTCCACCACATGCTGAATTCCATAACTAAGGAAGCAGCTGAAATCCCATTAATAATTTGTTTAGTCCTTTGGATGGCTCCCCACTTCGTTTTGTAAAGATTCTGAGGAGTCTCATTTCATTTTGCAATCTGAATCTCCAAAGCTTCGTAATGGTTTTGTTAAGATTTGTTCCATTAGTGGCAAAGGAGGAAATCTAGGACTCATTTCGCTGTCATTTTTTAAGGCCATCGGGATGGTCACAAAAGGGAATTAGGCAAGACAAAATTATCAATGGTTGATTGCTGTTTTTGTTGTTGTTATTTGACTTTGACTTGAAGGTTCATAATGATAGTTGCTTGAAAACACCAATGGGACTGCACTGGTGAAGTGGAAACCCACTGCCTGTTATAGTAGTAGTAGCAGTAGTAGTAATAATAATAATAATAATAATAATAATAATAATAATAATAATAGATCACATCCTCAGCTGCTACAAGAAGATTGCGCAGACAGACTACAAGCAGAGACATAACACCATTGCTCAGATGATTCATTGGAACTTGTGCCACAAATACCATCTGCCTGTGACAAAGAACTGGTGGGATCACAAGCCTGAAAAAGTTACAAAGAATGTACACGTCAAGATACTATGGGACTTCCAGATTCAGACAGACAGAGTTCTGAAGCATGTTAAAACAAAGTATGGATTGTCGATGTTGCAATCCCAGGTGACAGCAGGATTAAAGAGAAACAACTAGAAAAGCTGACACGATATGAGGATTTAAAGATCGAACTGCAAAGACTCTGGCACAAGCCAGTCAAGGTGGTCCCAATGGTGATCAGCACACTGGGTGCAGTGCCTAAAGACCTTGGCCTACATTTAAACACAATTAGCGCTGACAAAATTACCATCTGCCATCTGCAGAAGGCCACCTTACTGGGATCTGCACGCATTACTCGGCAATACTTGCTTAAAATGCGAAGGAACCGCTAGACTAAGCTGGCCCACTACTATTCACTATGGATTACAGTTTACTATTTGCTATGGATTACAATCAAGCCAAAGCACTTATTAAACAACATATCACAGACACAGAGCGCCAACTAGATCTGGCCTTGGTTCCAACCTTCCTTATCAATGAAGACAGCCAATATCTTGCCTCCCCTATGGCATATTTAACAAACTTAGAGGTTCCTACTCATCGAAGGGCTTTCACCCTGGCTCGATGCCACGCTCTCCCATCACCTGTACTCAAAGGCCGCTACCAGAAGATCCCTTTCCCAGAGAGACTCTGCCCCTGTGATTCGGGTCATGTAGAAACAATAGAACATATACTCCTTCAGTTCCCGTTCTACAGGGATATCCATCCCAGGCTTATCTTACCTCTGATATACAAGCACCCAGGCCATTCAGGACAACTTTATACCTCCTTGCTACTTGCAGATACTAATTCAGCTACAACCTACAATGTTGCAAAGTTCTGTGCAGCAGCATACAAAATCCGTCAGGGGATGACTAGTCCCAAAAGTTAACTGTGTGTCCAGGTATCTTCTTCCCTGAATCTACAATTTGGTGATGGATCTATGCATTGTTTGTTTTTACCGTTTCCCCTTCCGCTCCCTCACCCATATTGTGCTTCAGTAGTTATATTTATATTTTTAATGTACCAAACATACCAAGTTTGTATGAAAACGTGACTTCTATTTCCTGTGCTGGTCTATGACCGAAATAAATGATTTGATTTGATATTCGGCGATACATCACACAATCCTAGACACTTGGGAAGTGTCCGACATGTGATCCAATACAGTGTGTCTGCTGTGGACTCTTCTTGTTGTGTTTCTAACAATAATAATAATAATAATAATAATAATAATAATTATTATTATTATTATTATTATTATTATCATCTATATTCTGCCCTGTCTACCCAAAGGGACCCGCCCAAGGTAAAGAAGGGTGGACTTCTTCCTCTTATTCAAGGAACATGCAGTTTGCCTATGGCTCCCTTGTCCTGGACTGTGAGTTCCGGAGGAGGCAAGGGGATGGATGGCTCCTAATAGATGTTTCCTTCCAGTTTACAGGAGAATGCCATCGGGGATGAAGGAATGGTTGCCTTGGCCTCAGCTCTTCGGGTGAACTCAACACTCACTGCTCTCTAGTACGTTCCTATATTTATGAATGGGAAAGATTTCATCGGTTGTTTATGAAACTATTTATGTCTCAAGCTAAGTAAACAGCGCAAAACAATTTTAAAGAATAATCATAAAAGCAAATTAAACAACTTACCACATTAAAGCAAGGTGGTGTAAAGCTAGTTCAAGCAGTGCAAGGCAATTTAAAATGATTTGCCAACTGGGATATAATAAATTAGGACCCAAAAGGCTAAGAACCATTCTTTTATTTGATACGAGGATGATACTAGTGTTGGTTGGTTCCAAGTCTATATCCAAGGGAGAAAGAATATGTTTTATCGTATCAGAAGCCAACCAATGGTACAGTTGTACTGGATTTAAAAAACACAAAGTTTAAAAGACTTGGCATTATGTTAAATGTCCTTTGACCAGTAGCTGGCCACTTGGGAGAAGTGAGAATAAGGAAATTGGTTTTGAAATGCAGACACCACCATCATTTCCATGGTTTCACATCTCCGCTCGGCCCATCTGTGGGATGTATATGATGGAACTGGATGAAAGAGCAGGGCTATCTTTTAAAAAAAGTTAGATAGGAGGAAAAGACTTTGTCTCTGTCCTGTTGTTAAATGGGCAGAAAATCCCTGTAACCATAATTATGTTATAATTGTTGAAATTAATGTGGGTATCTCAAAAGGACCAACGCATAGCTAGAGACATAATACTCAGGGCCAATTGAGTTTATTTGGGCATCTGAGGCAGGATTACCATTATGTGTTGACAATCACTGTGTTGGTTTGTTGTAGGTTTTTTGGGCTGTATGGCCATGTTCTAGAAGCATTCTCTCCTGACGTTTCGCCTGCAGCTATGGCAGGAACCCTCAGAGGTTGTGAGCCCAAAAAACTACAACAACCCAGTGATTCCGGCCATGAAAGCCTTCGACAATAAATCAATGTGTTGCTTAGTCACGACACCCCAGGGATGTTTAATACAATGATATGAAGTATCCATGTTGGACTGAACTCTCACCTGGAACCGATGGAAAAATCTGTGTCCTGCCCTTGTCTCATGGGAGGACTGGCCCCACAGAACTACTTGGTGGCCCTTGGCGGGACAGACCAGGAATTGTCCTCAATGTGTCCTCCTTGGTTGCAGCCTTCAAGCAACACTCATTGGAGAGCGTGGGGCCATTGCTCTGGGAGAAGCCTTGGGTGTTAACAAGAGCCTTGCTGTGCTAGAGTAAGTATTAGACATGTGAAAATTTTTCATAAGTTTTGTAAGTCGGAAGGAAATTGGTTAAATTTGTACATCCCAAGTGATATAATAATAATACACTTTATTTATATTCTGCTTTATCTCCCCAAGGGGACTCAAAGCGGATTATGACATACACTGATAGGCAAACATTCACTGCCTTAATACAGGGGAAATAACAATGACATACAAATACACAAAACAAAGGTAAAAGCTTCCCCTTCCATCTCCAGCGTCTGGAGGCAGTGCTCAACTCTGGCCAGTGGGAGGTGCTCTTGTTCCATTTCCAAGCCAAGGAGTCTGTTGTCCATAGACACCTCCTGGTTGCATTGTTGGCATGGCTGCATAGGCACCTTTATTACCTTCCCACCAAAGCGGTACCTATTGATCTACTCACATTTACATATTTTTAAATGTTAGGTTGGCAGGAGCTAAGGCTAACAGTGGGAGCTCACCCCGACCCATGGCTTTGAACTGCTAACCCTTCGGTCAGCAGATTTTCTGCAGCAAGCGGTTTAAACCGCTGTGCTACTGCTTCCACCTATATTCCCCTTTGCACCTCTGGGTTGGGGTGGATTCTTTTCCCTATTTGAACATCGCAGGAAACAGCTTACCTCAATCCATTCTTCTTTGTTTCTCACTTCAGCTTAAGAGGAAATGCTATCGGTTTGGCTGGTGCCAAAGCCATGGCCAGTGCCCTGAAAGTCAACAGCACCCTCCGCAGACTGAAGTAAGTCAAGGAACAGAGAAATGATACCGTGTCAAAGTTGCACCAGTCTTTTGTTCTGTAAAGAGATGGACTTTCCCTTCAAGGGCCAGCGGTTGGAGAGGAAACGCATTACAAATGCATTAGAGTGTGTAGGGCTACATTTATTCAGTACTTCTTAAATTGGGGACTGCAATTGCACATCTGGAGGGAGCATTTTCTTAACTAGTGGGTCACATCTGTTTCTGCTAATGAAACAGCAAGGCCACTTCTACTTTTCGGAATAGCAATTTTTCAAAACATTATCTGGTAGTGTGCTCTACATGTGAACTGTGATTCTGAAGGCATTATTCTTGTGTGTGTGTGTGAAATGGCATCAGAGCATGCTCTTGTAGCAGTGGTTTTCAATTGTTGGTGCTCCAGATGTTGTTGAAATCAACATGGTCCGTGCTATGACCTTCTGGGAAGTGAATTCCAGATCATCTGGATGGTCAGTGAGTTTTGTGGGTTTTTTGAGGAAATTTGTCCATTCCCTCCCAAAAGTAAATATTACGTTACTTTAAAATTTTAACATTACTTTGAAAATAGCAATACGTTTATGTTTATTTTAAATTTAATTCTTAAAGTAACAAGTCAACTGCAATGGGCTCGTACAACCTTTTAAGGAATTGTTGCCAATTCCTAACGAATGAAACTAGTGAAGAGGGGAAGCCAGGAAAACAGTTCCACCTTGTCTCCTGTAACATCAGTCGAGGACCCCCCCCCCCCAGCAACAATATAGTACTAGATAATACTAATATTGTGCTATGATAATATATTGTATATACATATAATATTGATAATAATATTATAATGTAATACAATATACTACTACTAATAATAATAATACAATATAATATATTATAGTATAGTGGCATAGTACAATCTAGTTATAATGCTAATATTGAGCAATGCTAATAATATAATACATTGTATGTACATATAACTTGTAAGCCACTCTGAGTCCCCTTCAGGTGTTGTATAAATGTAGTAAAAAAATAAATAAATCTGCCTAAGTGTCAGGGCTCTTCATGACTGGACGGTTCTACTATGATGGGAGGGTTTTGGACAGAGGGCAAGAGAATAGCCTTTAATACCCTGAATATATGGGTAAACTGCACTGAGGTGGGGATAAGGCATTTTCCCTTCTCCTCCCCCCTCTCCCTTTACCCCAAACTGTGTCACAATGGCATTGAAGGCATTTCTCATCTTTTGTTGACAGCCTCCAGGAGAACTTGCTGGGGATGGATGGCGCCATCTGCATCGCCACCGCTCTGACCAGGAGCCACAGCCTGACTTACATTAAGTAAGTCCCTTGGAACGACCTAATGGGTTCATCTAACAAGGATACACACAACCCATTTTGTATTGGCCCCACAACATTGAGAAAGTGCTGGGCTTGGTGCTTAACAGCTGCCATTTGCAGCTTTACTTCCAGGAAAGAAGGGAGGAATAAAGAAATAAAAAGGAGGGCGGGCAGGCAGGTGAGAGAAAAGGAAGAAAGAAAGAGAATGAGGGAAGAAGACAGGGATGGCGAAAAGGAAAAGGGGAGAAAGGGGGATAGACAAGAAGGCAAGAGAGAGAAAAGGGAGGAAGGCATGAAGGATGGGAGACAGGCAAGAGCAAAGGGAAGTTAGGAGGGAGAAAGAAAAAAAGAGTGGGGGAGAGAAGGGCAGGCAGGCATGTAGGTAGGTGACAGAAAAGGAAGAAAGGGAATGAGGGAGAAAGACAGGGAGAGAGGAAAGGGAAAGAAAAGGGACAAGGGGCCGACCAAGGAAGGCAGGCGAGAGAAAAGGAAGGGAGGGAGGGGAGGCAGGCGAGAGGAAGGGAGGGAGGGAAAGAAAGAAGGGCAAGCGGACAGGCAGGTGAGAGAACAGGAAGGAAGGGAATGAGGAAGGAAGACAGGGAGGGAGGAAAGGGAAAGGGAAAAGGAGGGAAGGAAGGAGGCAAGTAACAGAAAAGGGGAGGGAGGAAGGATGAAAGGAAGGATAAAGGAAAGAGAAGAAAAGAAAGACAAAAGGGAAGGAAGGAAGAAGGAAGGAAGGAAGGAAGGAAGGAAGGAAGGAAGGAAGGAAGGAAGGAAGGAAGGAAGGAAGGTGGGAACTGACCTTCAAAAAGCATGGCATAGTGGTTTGAACCTCGGACTGTGGCTCGGAACCCACTCAGTGACTTTAGGCAAGTCACACTCTCTGGATGGTCCCAGACAAATCTCGCAACCTGTGACTAACCCTTGGCGAGAGGCCGAAGAGAGTGACACTTTCTTAAGATGCACCCTTTCTTCCCATTCGCAGCTTGCAAGGAAATCGTATTGGGGAGTCTGGCGCCAAGGTGATCACCGATGCCATTTGCACCAACGCCCCTGGCTGCATAGTGGAGATGTGAGAGGTGGTCTGCCGGAGGCCTTCGGATGGCTTGGTTGAGCCATGCCTTGGGTGTGCGTGTGTGACGCCCCCATGCATTTCCCTGAAGAAGTGGTGAAAAGGAGGACCGCTGGCCAAGGGGATGCTGCTGCAAAGGAGAGTCCAAAGTTGTGAAGGCAGCTGTGGAAGACAATGGTTTAACTAGTATTTCTCATTCTGGTTGCTGGCGCCAAGTTGCTTGGAGAGAATAATCAGAAGTAGGTTACAATACTGCAGATGCTGTGACGTGCCTCCTTTAGTAAGGTCCAAAAGACTACCTCCTGAGGTATAATCCTTAGTTATTCCTATCCCCGGCAAGTGGAAGATGAAATACTTCATCATAAAATGCCAGGAAGAAAATAGGGGGGAAAGAAGAAGAATGACAATGGGGGAAAAAAAGCACATTTATTTGTGAAACAGGAATGTCACCATCAAAGAAATGTTCAGAGTACCGTCTGAGGAATCCTTCATACAGAACTCAACTTGTGCTGGTGTTAGAGGACTGGATCATTCCTGTTTACCATCTGAAAAAAGAAGTTATATACAGAAGCAGGGAGGGACTGGTTGGTGCATAAGGCTAGTGAGCAAGAAGAGGTGCAGCCAGGCCTGGAATAACACCTTTTGCATTTCTCCCCTGTAAACAAATTTGTTTTAAATCTGTGCGACAGTTACCCAAGGTCTGGGAGCAACGGCCCTGAATTGTTAATATTTTTTTTCATGAAAACATTTCTGGAAATTAAAATGCTCTCTGAGTCCCCGGGAGATCATTCTCTTCACCCCTGGCCTTTTGTTATCATGAAGTAAACTGGAAGTTAGTTCCTCATTTATCTGCTGGTTTTAAAAAAGCATATCCAGATGCAAAAATACAGTAGAAGGGACTGCCATGGTCTTTAAGGAGTGTTATTTTGTGTATATGGAAGATGGGCTATGAGGTTTAACAACAAATGTAATCTCTCCTATGGTTCCTCTAGAATTCCCAAGAGCAGGGTTTTCCCATCAATGTGGTTTCATTCTGATGCAATTCTGGATTGAAAGCTATACTGGAGATTACACTGAAATGATACAGGGGAGAGCCCAAAATGAATGGGGATTGGCTTTCCTGAACTATTTTATGGATTCTGGGTCTCTGACAATAGAGAGACTGCTTTGCTGAAGGTTTCAACATGGCCAGAGAAGGGGTTCATACCTTCTTTTCTCTCAAGCATAACAGGCACTTGGTGTTTATTCTGGAATAAAGTTTAGAATAGAAAAGTAAACCCAAAGTGTTCATTTATCCTTAAATTAAAAGAAATTTGGAATTAAGTTTATCTCAAAAAAAGCAGCTTTTTCTCTCTCCAAGCTGCTCTTTGCTCCAGTAGACCTGGATCTTGCTGAAAATGTTTAAATCATTGGCACTATAGCACTTCAAGGCTTATGTTTCCATCACCTTCCATCCTGACTACTTGTCATAGCAGTGCAGATGTCACAATCTAACAGAGATGATTTGGTACTGTTTTTCACTGGGCACAAAGGTATGTTACTTTAGGGCACTCTTTTAACGGAACTCGTTATTTCCAGCTCCCTGAAAGATTTGTACCCCAAAATGTCTTTGCTCCTTCCTTCTCTTTGGAAAGCCCATCAGAAGTCATTGTCACTCTCCTCCAATGGCTCAGGCTTCCTGACCCTTCGACTGGCCTTATTTGGAGAAATGTCCATGCTGTCATCTTCCAGATCATCGTCATCATCGTCATCGTCGTCATCATCGAGATCAATTTCGCTGTCCTCCGAGTCCTCCTAGAGTGAAATATTTTATTCTTTTAATAGTATCTAGGTTTTTAAAAATAAGCTCTTAACTGATCTAATAAGTTTAGATTAATAAGTCTGCATATGAGTAAAAACAACAGTTGTACAGAAAAAAAAACCCTGTGTGATTGGATCCAGAGATGGGTGGACCTTTCCTGCTCTTCTCCATGGCAGGCCCCTACAGCAAAGCCTTTGCAATTATTATTATTATTATTATTATTATTATTATTATTATTATTACTATTATTATTATTATTATTATTATTATTATTATTACCTGCCTCTCCTCATGGCTCAAGCCAGGTTACAGAATAATTAAAACACATAAACATTTTAAAGATACTACAAATACACATATAAACATGTATTTTTATAAAAGATACATATTAAAATGTATTTCTATAAAATACGTATTAAAATATATTTGCAAAGCCTTCTAGGTACCAGAAAGGAAAAAGAGAGAATCTGGAGAAAACAAGGGAGGAGCCCTTTGTGTGTGGTGGACTTCTCTATGGGCAATGCCCTTTAAAGAAACATAGGCATGAGTTGTTGTAAGTTTTTTGGGCTGTATGGCCATGTTCTAGAATTATTCTCTCCTGACATTTCGCCTGCATCTATGGCAGGCATCCTCAGAGGTTGTGAGGTCGTTCAACGTCTGAGGATGCCTGGCATAGATGCAGGCAAAACGTCAGGAAAGAATACTTCTAGAACATGGCCCTATAGCCTGAAAACTACAACCACCCAGTGATTCCAGACACGAGAACCTTTGACAACGTATTAAACATATGCATGTTCTTCAAAAAACAATATTTATTTTGAGCATGTATAGAGCATCTTGCTTTCCTGCAAATAGCCAGGGAGCGCTGCTTGTTAATTCTGGTCTCTGAAGCTGGTTGAGAACAACAGAAAAACTGTTCATAAAGGTACGATGTAATAACTGCTACCAGTAGAGGTTGAGTATCCAAAATGATTGGGACTGGAAGTGTGCTGTATTTCAGATCTTTGGGGCATTTGGAATATATATAGTACACCTATGGAACAACGTCACGCCTCATTCATTTGCTGTGAAAAGATGGAAATGGAAACTGTTTGCTGGCAGCTACCCACTTGTGCCTTCAAGCTGGAGACAGTGGCACTCTTGTTCGTCTCTCTCCAACCTTGCATCACATGAGGATGGAGAGAGACTGAGGATCTGAGAGACAAACGACTGGGAATGTCGCAGCCATCTCCTTGAAGGCAGAAGTGGCAAGCCATTTTGCTTTTTGGAAGATTTTAGATTTCCAGATAAGAGAGGCTCAACCTGTGCTGGATAGGTTGCAGGATAGGCAACAGTGGCCAGAGGCATGCATGGAGGCATGAAATGTGGAAGCACAACACCCACCTTCACTTTGGCTCTGGAAGCTCTATGTTTATTGCCTTGGGCATGGGCTCCCCCAAACTGTGAGGAGGAAGAGAAGTGGCAGCAACATGCAGAGACAAGGTGAGAAGGAAGCAGAAAGAAATTAAAGCCATAAACGAAACTGGCAGAAACAGTAAAATGAAAGAGAGCAAGGGAGGTGCTACACCAAGAGGGTCAAACTGAGTCTCCTAACAAGGAAGGGGGGGGGGGGCTAAGCGGCCAATGGAAAGCCTGTCGGGGGTCCATTAAGCAAAGTCTACTCTTGGACAACTCACACACCCCTCCGTTATCTTGTGGGGTGCCATCTTGCCAGCTACCTAGAAAAAGTATGTTAAGCTAGAAGGAGTGGGAGACAAAGCTTTTGTTGTAACACAACAGAAATGTAATAAAACACCCCATTGGGAGGCATGTCACGTGGCCTTGGATGAAGATAAATAGCAACACAACTGGAGAAAACTTTATGGGTTCACAGTGGTGCAGTGAGTTAAACCGCTGAGCAGCTGAACTTGCTGACCAGACGGCTGGAGGTTTGAATCCGCAGGATGGGATGAGCTTCCGCTGTTAGCCACAGCTTTTGTCAGTTCGTAAACACATAAATGTGATTAGATCAGTAGGTACCACCTCAGAGGGAAGGTAATGACACTCCATGCAGTCATCCTAGCCACATGACCTCAGAGGTGTCTACGTGCAATGCAGGCTGTTCGGCTTAGAAATGGAGATGAGCATCACTCCCTGAGCCGGAGATGAGCACCACCCCTCAGAAGCCAGAAGGGGAAGCCTTTTTTAAATCTGTGTTTGGTTGTTTCTAGGCACTGAATGTTTGCCTTCGTGTTTGTGTATGCTGGAATCCGCCCTGAGTCCCCTTGGGGTGATAGAGCAGAATATAAATAAAGTATTACATGATTATTATCATCATTATTATATGGTTTGAAATCAAGAGCTAAGTAAACATACACTGTTTCAAATAAGCCGGCTTCCAGGCAATAGGAAGACAGGATTAAAAGAGCATCGATATTTTGGCAACACATCCTCAAGGTGAGCAACACTGCATGTATACAAAACCTAAAGGCCTGATTGGTGCTGGTTAGTCCCGCTGAGAGGAATCGGAGAGGCACATCAGACAACAGGTAGGTAAATCCCATTGACTGAACAGGCCTACTCTTGTTGGTAGTAACAACAGGGTTCAGGCTCTCATTTTCTGCATAAGGAGAGAGAAAGATACAACCCTGATGAGCAGCTTCCCCACAACTATAGGGGATGCATGTTTGAGTCTGTCTATTTATTTATTTATTTATTTCTGGTATTTCTACTCCGTCACTTCTCTACCCCCGAGGGGGGACTCAGGACAGCTTACAATAGGCACCAATGATGCTGATACATAACAATCACAATAATACAACCACAAATGAACATAAGTCATAATTAAAACAGTACATAAGCACTAATGAAATAGTACAAAAGCAATAAAAACAGTCTCATTAGCCGTGTCGCCGTACCAGTCAATGTCCATCTAAAGTGCTACTTACGTCTGCTGACCAAAGGTCTGGTCCAAAAACCATGCTTTTAGTTTTTTCCTAAAAAGTCAGGAGGGAAGAAACTGATCTTATTCAATTTGGGAGTGTGTTCCATAGGTGCGGGGCCACAGCTGAGAAGGCCCTGTCTCTCATCCACACCAGACGCATTTGTGATGATGGGAGCAAGAGCAGGGCCTCCCCGGATAATCTTAGATTATAAAGTGGGACGTAGGGGTGGATGCATTCGGACAAGTAAGCTGGGCCAGAACCGTACAGAGCTTTATAGATCAAAACCAGCACTTTGAATTGGGCTCAGAGATGGACTGGCAGCCAGTGGAGCTAACATAACAGGGGGGTAGTATGCTCCTTGTTTGTCACCCCAGTTAGTAATCTGGCTGCCGCCCGTTGGACTAACCGAAGTTTCCGAACTGTCTTCAAAGGCAGCCCCATGTAGAGTGCGTTGCAGTAATCCATCCGGGATGTAACCAGAGCGTGGTTACATAAAAGGATGTCTATGGTCTATGACCACATGAAAGGACGAAAGGGCATTTGGCAAATAATAGACCTTGGTTATGTTTATAAATTAAAAATGGTTCCTAATAAATCTGCTGTGAATAAGATGTCACTTTAGAGACAATGAGGCATTCTTGGTTGAAAAGCACATGGAACGTTCAAGGAGAGGAATGCCTTGATCTTTAAAAAGCACACAAGACAAAATCCCAAAGAGGTCCTTCAGAGGGACAACTTTGAAAGCAATTAGATTTAACATAATGAATTATACAATTATTTCTTTTAGTAGGGCTTGGGCCCAAAGTAGCAATTATGAGAAGCAGATGGCCATGCCCTGCTGAGATCTCCCCAATGTGGCTTAGATATTAAAGGAAATGGATGCTGTCACTGTGGGGATGGATTAGAGAAATCATGGCCATATTAAACATCATTAGGAAGATGAGACAACAGGCATATGCTCTTCTTAATAGGAAGGTCTTTAATTCAGGCCCTGGTGCACCTACCTTACAAGCGCAAGACTAGGCATACAGTGCCTCCTAAAACCAATTAAAATCCCCCTGCAGTGAAACTTGCCTTTCAAAGTTCATCATTTAACACCTAATAATTTAATCAAAAGTAAACCACTATACAATAGAACAGCGTAATAGGGATGAAAGAATCACAAAAAGAGGGCCAGTCCACCTTGTGGCACTCTGAGAAATGGTCCTTGCCAGTCTCCTGCTCTCCTTCCTCTGCTTAAGCGCAGCAGCAGCAGAAGAAGAAGAAAAGCAAAAAGACACAAAAGGAAGGGAGACACAAAAAGACAGGACAAAAAGATTTGAAAGATGCAATGTGTGGGTGCTTTGATGAAAGGAGGGCACACAGCAGAGACACAAAGTACTGCAAGGCAGGTTTTGGCTGAAGGTACAGGCTCTTTGTGGTGGCATGAAAAGGTCTGCCAAAAGCACCACCAGTTACTACTCACATCATCCTCTGTGTCTCCGCCGTGCATCGTTCCTACAATCCGCTTTCTTGGTCTCCCTACAACAGAGAGAAAATTCATGAGAATGGGACTGCACAGATACAAAGGTGAGGAGGAAAGCAAACTGTTTTGCTAAGTTAAAAGCAGCGTTCAGAGAGGCTCGGGAGACACAGATACACTTTCTAACATTTCTCTTCTTAGTTCTTCCCCATCTTTACAGCAATTCAAAAAGCTGTTTGTTCTGAGACAAGATGTCAGAGGGACAAAAGAAGGGGGCCACAGTACACAATGGTGCTTCCATCACTCCGCCTTCAATGCTTTTTACTCTTCTAACAATCTGCTTCTAAAGTTGGTGTCAGGTTGACAGAAATTTCAGGCTGACAAAAATACAGACTGCCAGCAGCAAACTATAGGTTTCCACTAGATCTTGAGGTTTTGGAGTCTGTGTTTTTAGTTGACACTCAGAAAGAGGTTGTGACCTTTCCTAACCAGTCAGTCCACTGGGATTTTGTCTTGTGGAAGTTCAAAAGAAGAGGACCTAGTGCTACTACTGTTAGCAGGAGACTACCATTAGCACAAGCTTACTGTGAAGAGTTTGTTTTGCACTTTCCAAATAGCATGCTCAGTTGGGTTCAGACATGGCTGCTGTAGCTGATACAGTTCCAATGAATGTAACTTAGATACCTGCCTATTATCATGCAGCCATGGCAGTGTTATTTTACTACAGCATTAATGGGTCTTGAGTATCCACAGATTTCAGTATCCTGGGAGGTCCTGAGCATATACAGAGGGCCCACTGTATTTGTAAAACAGTAAGTCCCCAAATCTTGCTGGAATAAAAGGCCTTCGTCTGTTGAAAAGGCAGAGAAAGAGTTGGCTAGCCTCCAGAGGAAAGGAGTGGATGGGATGTACCAGGCATGGGCAAACGTCAGCCCTCCAGGAGTTTTGGACTTCAACTGCCACAATTTCTAGCAGCCTCTGGCCCTTTCCTTTCCCCCCTCAGCTGCTTAAGCAGAAAGGGAAAAGGAAAAGGAACTCCCACAAGGCTGTTAGAAATGGTGGGAGTTGAAGTCTAAAACACCAAGAGGGCCAAAGTTTGCCCATGCCTGGAATATACCATTAACAATTAAACTATCTATACTATTGTTGTTTTAAAATTCCATTGTTAAATAATTGTGCATTATTAAAATGTGGCTTTAAAAACACATTTTAAAGAAATGTAGGTTGCTGTTCAGGCAGCTGGCACAGGAAATAAAGCATTAAAAGAAAAAACAAACAAACCAGCACCTTGATGTTAAGGTGAATGAATATCAAAATAAGGAAAGTAAATATTTCAAATGCCAAGACCTGGATGGACATCTGATTTGGACGCCAATCCTTCACAGGCCTTGGCAAACACTTCCTATCCATTCTTGGGCATCTGTTGTTTTCCACCATGGACCCAAAATTGCCTCATAAATTGGCAACAGAGCTCTTTCAAGAGACCCGAAGCCATCAAAGTAAGTCTTGAGGGGACGCCCTTTCCGAAAATGCCACAGTAGCCAATTACAGAAGTGAGAACAGGGAATAGCAGAGTTGTACACAGCATTGTGGCAGTGAAAGGAGGGGTGACAGTGCAGGCAGGCAGAGGGAAAAGAGGCCAAAAAACTTTTTAGCCTGTAATAAAACAAAACAAAACCTTAATTTACTTTCTGGTACTCTGAAATTGCAGGAAAGCTTGCACATAGATGGGAAAGAGGTCCAGCTGTGGAGGAACCCCAGAGGGATGAACCTACACCAGTTTCTGCAGTACCCATTAAAGGGAATTTTGACAGTTATGTGGGAGACCAAAGCAGCATTTAAAAGTCAGCATTTGTCAATCCATCGCTGTGGTAACCTTTTTAATGGGAGACCATGCGGAGTTCTCTTTATGCCATTGATGGAATATACTTCTCCCCCTCAAGGGAGCAGCTGGCTTTGGGGCTTTGCTGTGCGACCAGCAAAGGCAAGCGCTGAACTGTGGTTTAGTTGAACTCTGGTCCCAGTAAAGGTAAAGCAAGGAGACAAAAGATGAATGAATGTGCAGTCTGCTCCCACGTATTCTGTGCCTTGTCTCATCTTCAATTTCTAGAATGCTTTCCCTTCTGTGTGAATCCATGTGTGAAGAAATTGCAGATGTGCAATAAATCCAAACATGTGGTCAGAAAGAGAAGGAAAACTTCCAATAACTTCCAATACTCAACTCCATCAGGTCTCCCAGGAAGCTTATCAAAATCGGCTACTCTAAAAACTATGGTGGAGGTATGTATCGAATTGCAAAGATGCATTAGATACATAAAAACAAACAAATGGAATGTTGGAAAAAATGGCAAAACAAACTACAAATTAATAGGGTAGATATACTCCCAATAGGGTTTCTACACAATAAAAAAGAACAGACATTGGGTAAAGTCATAACAAATTTGAAACAGAATGGAATGAATTTGATAAAAGACCTCTTGAACTCAGATGGGACAATCAAGGATTGGGAATCAATAAAGGGTAAATGTGGTCAAGGTAATTGGCTTCTTTGGAATGGATTAAAACAAAGGATCATTAAAGAGAAGAAATAAGAAGGCCCTGAAACAGCCCTAGATCAAATTCTAAAATGGAAACTAGAAAAGGAGAAAGGACTGATGGGGTTTATTTACAAGAAATTAATTGGAATACAATATAATTTGAAACAAGTTTTGATAGAAATATGGAAAGAYGATTTAAATAATAAAGTTTTAGAAATAGAAAACTGGATTGACTCAATTAAACATCTTAAGCATATAAAGATTAGAGAAACACAAAGGAAATTATTGACTAGATGAACCCCAATTAAAATAGCCCAGATGACAAAAAACARCACAAAACTTTGTTGGCATGGATGTGGGAAAATTGGCTCTTATTCCCACATGTGGTGGGAATGTGATAGAGTACAAGAGTTCTATAACAAGGTAATGAATGAAATGGAAGAAATAATAGGATATAAACTGGCTTTGAATAAAATGGATTTTTTTACACAGAAATTAGACAAAAAAGATAATAGCAAAGCCTGGGAGGAAATTATAAAATATATGATATTAGCTGCCCAAGCAACTGTGGCGTTGGGGTGGAAAGACTATAGAAAATGGGAGGTTAAAAATGGTATGAGTATTTAGCAGAATACATGCTTCAGGAGTACATCCATGAAAAAAGAAGCAAATACACAACAAGCCGACTTAAGAAAACTTGGGTGCAGAAATGGGAAAGACTGATTGAAAAAGTGGAAGGAAAAGAAAGATATAAGGTGCTAAACCATTCTCTTTTTACAATTGTTCAATTAAATTAAGATCTGAATTAAGGTATATACTGTTCCCTGAAGGGGGGCGGGTGGGGGGAGGAGGGGTGTAAAATCGTAAGACACAAGGGTAAGGTGAAGGGGAGACAGATAAGAGCATTAGGAAATTATAATGTGATATGTGGTATGTGATATGCTTTCAGAATGCAATTTAGCAACTGAATTTCTAACAACGAGCGGGTGTGATGGTATTATATTTGTGTCGGAAAAATCTAAAATAAAAAATGTATCTAATTATAATTAATACTTCTGCTGAATTGGGGGGACTAATTGCTCTTCTCCTTTAGAGCAGGCATGGGCAAACTTGAGCTTTCCCTCCAGGTGTTTTGGACTTCAACTCCCACCATTTCAAACAGCCTCAGCCGCTTAAGCAGCTGAGGGGGAAAAGGAAGTGGCTGAGGGGAAAAGAAATGGTGGGAGTTGAAGTCCAAAACACCTGGAGGGAAGCTCAAGTTTGCCCATCCCTGCTTTAGAGAGATCTCAGGAAGACTCCTTCATGGCACAACTGACCTCTAGCTAATCTGAAGTTCATGCTGGTGGGTGCAGGGCTACGAGGAAGAAAATATGGTTGTTTTCTCTGGCACAGTTCTTATATTTTGCAGTTAAGCCACATTTTGGATGAAAGAGTGGGAGTTTAGTCAACACCTATTCAAATAAACATTGAACTTTGTCTTACAGACAAAACAGCTATGGCTAATGAAAACCCAAGGATCAAAGCAGGGCTTCTAACCTGGAAGTGATGCATATTTACAGCACAGATGCAGATCAGCACACCACACCAATACAGTTCTAGCCTTGGGCCCCAAGGTATGGGATACAAAGATAGACTGTGTATACTTCAATCTTATCTGAGAACTGAGTCATTTTTATCATTATTCAAAGAATCCAATATCCTAACCACCTGCATTTTCGTTTTTTAACAAGCATGATTCTAGTTCTCAAGGCCAGGATGATATAGCGGTGTGGATAAACAGTTTGCGAAACACACTACCAGTTTTCTTTCACGGATTGTGTGGCATGTACAGGAGACACTGTGTGCCAAGCAATTTGCAGAGAATTAGCAAAAGCAAGCAAAGGTACCTTGCATCAGCATCTCCATGGCGGTATGCTGCTTCATTAGTTGCCTGTCTTCAATGTCACTGTCCGATCCATCATCCTCGTGGATCTCTATATCTGAGTCATCGTTACCTAAACAAAAGGAAGAACACCCACAACAGTTAACATCCACAAGTGAGATATGCTCAGGCTATTAGACTTCTTTGTAGAATCATAGAGTTGGAAGAGACCTCGTGGGCCATCCAGTCCAATCCCCTGCCAAGAAGCGGTAAAATCTCATTTAAAGCACCCCAGACAGATGGCCATCCAGCCTCTGCTTAAAAACCTCCAAAGAAGGCTTCCACCACACTCTGGGGCAGAGAGTTCCACTGCTGAATAGCTCTCACAGTCGGGAAATTCTTCCTCATGTTCAGGTGGAATATCCTTTCCTGTAGTTTGAAAACATTGTATTCATTTCAATGAACAATTGTGAGCTGACAGGAACTGAAGAAGCCCTAAGTCCAAAATTCTGGTTTTGACCATGCATTCTATTACCACCACATGTCAATTCTGTACCTGTGTTTGGTATACGTTTTCATATATATCTGTGTGTATGTGTGTCTGTGTATCTATTGAATTTAGTAATTTATTGTATTTTTATGTTCAAATGTTTTTATGTTTGTGGTAACCCACCTCGAGCCATCAAGAGAGGCAGATAATAAATAACATTTATTATCATTATTATTATTTAGTGATACAACTACATAACTGACTTGCAGAATATCCTGGACTGTGGCCTCAATTCAACATCCACACGTAGATTTTATTCTATGCTGACCCTATACCACCCACTTTAAAGTCCTGAAGTTGCCTCACACAGGTATTCTTTTAGGTTCTCCCAGGAAGGACTAAGCTCTTGCCTTACTCAGAGAAAGGGAACCTGCCTTTTTTGATAAGACTTAAGGCACAGTAGTTACATTACATTTATACATAAGTATATACAGTACACATGTAGAAGCCACTTGGTTTTCTTGAAACATACAACTCTTATCAGATTGGGCTCAGTCAGCATAGCTAATATGCGCTGAAGGTTTATGGGAGCTGCAGTCAATCCATAATTAGATGAAAGTCTTCCTTTATTACTTAAAGTGGGAGGAAGGAGAATTAAGTATGGTCTGAACTTCTGTTGGTTACAAAAATTGTGTTCCCCTTTCCATGTTCCTGTTTGAAATCATCGGTTATAAGTTCCATTTGGGATAGATGCAAAGCAAGTGTGATATGGCAGCTCATAGTAGCTTAAGAGAGGATGATTTCAAGTGGAGTAGAAGAATAAAACACTCCTTCCCTGTTGTTGTTCCTCCTCCTTATTTATACCCTGCTTTATCTCTCCCACAGGAGACTCAAAGTAGCTTAACATAAAAGCATTAGCATACAATTTAAAATATACAAATATGCAAACATCAAAACAATATTTAAAAGTTCCCAGTTAAAAACCATTAAACGTATTCAAAGTTAAAAACCACAGCTCCCCCTGAATTGATCTTCCCCTTTCCCCAGAGGTTTTTTTTAAAGTCTGTCAAAAAGGTTAGGTGATCTGATCATGCACCTGTCTGTCAATATTTGATCTGTTTAGGGCTCTGAGCTGCTGTTTCACCCACGCAGCTCACAAATCCCAATGAGTTAGGCTGCCTAAATATCACCAACTTCATTGGCCTTTCGACTGGGCCAGGTACAAAGCCCAAACTGCAGCAGACTCACGTTATACATTTTGATGAAAACTGACATGTTTGTACAAACAAGTGGAAGCAGTGAAGGAGATCCCCCAATCCCATTTCCATGTCTCTAACTGTTAAAGATCTAATTCCGCACAGCACGAAAGTCAGGAGAGGCTGTGAGATATCACAACCCACATTTCTGATGTGCTCGCTGCAGTGATCTCTTGAGGATTGCCTTATCAAAGCTTCCCTCTTATCACACCAGCCAGTTATTTATCAACAGGAGATGAAGGGGATGGAAAGTGAGGAGAGAAGAACCCACAAGCACTGCTCATTTAACATTCAGTTCAGCCTCACAGGAAGCCTTGGCAAAACTTTGGAATAGCTTCCAAGCCTTATCTCATGCAGATAAATGCAGCTGTTGACCTACATGCCCATCTTGAAACATAGATAAAGAGTTGATCAAATCACAGGTCTATCAAAATGTGCACAAATAGTCAAGAGGATTTTGCAGGCAGAACGGATTGTTGTCCAAATGTTTACAACTTCAGTCATGTAGTATATGAAATACAGGACTCAGAACATTTTACATTTTCTCTTGTTATTCTTTTAACAAGGCGTTTGAAGTTTCTTTGGGGCTGGGGAAATGTAATGAGGTCAAAGAGAAGTTCACTATATCCAATACTGCTTTGAAGCAAAGAGGTCCACTGTATTCCTTATTCTTGATGACTTCCAGATAATGAAAGATCTTTTGCTCGAGACAGTTGTCAAACTGACATTGCACAGAGAGGAATGGATGGATTACAAAATGGGTTTTCTGTACACTTCAAACTGCGTTTGGTTTTACGGAAGTTCAATTGGAAACCTTCAAGGGAGAGGATAAGACAACGCCAACTATGTTTTCATGTGAACAGGATCTTCAAAAATTCAAAGAATGCAGCAAGGAGAAGAAGAAAAAGAAATAGTGTGCGGCTTTGATAATCCAAAGTATCTTTATTCTGTCTTCACTCCTGCAGGCTTGAGACAGAGAAGGCGCTCAGAGGCCTTGTGAGCAATTATGATAGCCTTACCTTCCATGCCTCTAACCAAGGCAAATCACCTGTGTTTGAATTTCACATCCAGGCAGTGCTCACCCTTGTGCTTTAATTAGAGTTGAACAGCAGACTTTTGACCCCCTTGTTGCCATTTGAATTTTGAGGAGGGCAGCTGCGTAATCCAACAAAAATATATCCCACTGTGTTCCAATTTCCAGGAAAGTAAAACACCCATGAAAATAAATAAATTATAATAATAATTCACTGCTTTTGAGTCGAGAAGTGCTGTGAAGCGTGACCTTCCTGATAAAACCAAATAATGAAAGGCAGCAGTTTCCCAAGTTTCCCACGGCTCAAGGCTTTATCTAGAATTATAGCCAATGAGAGATGGCCATAAAGCCCAATTATCTAGAATTATAGCCAATGAGAGTTTGCCATAAAGCCCAATTCTGTTGCTTCATTGTCACATGAAGGCGACCCTGGATTCTGCCCACAGGGAAGGTCAAGCTGGTAAGATTTGAGCATGGCCTTCACAGCGGACTGTATTTTAGTCTCGTAACACAGACAGATGCGGTTTGAAAAGCCCCCATCTCGGCTTCAAATGGAAATTACCCTTAATGATCCACGGGGATTAAATATTAAGTGCTTATGCAGCAATACTGAAATCACAAGTTGATGTGCCCAGGGGGTTTCTGCTGCTGATGTCTTAGTTTCAAAAGAGTCAGAACTGACATATCAATACTACTGGTTGCTGGGCAAAATGGGTCACTACTTTGTTTTAGTCAAATTTCAATGTTATAACAGTACCATCCTAATAGTCTTCACAATTATAGTACACATAGTGCCAAAATATTTTTGCAGAGGGACTTCACCATAAGATGCAACAGAGAAGGAAGTACTGGTGCAAATACTCAACTACTAAGCTGCCTTTAAATCCAGGCTGGTACATTTTGTCCAGGAATGCACCTTGCCACTTGGCCTTGCGTCTGACTAAGGAACGCAGCCATGAACTGCCACACTTGTAACATATGAATAAAGTTTAACTAGTGGTGTTTCATATCCTTAAACTCAATGTGGCTGTCTGTTTGAAGAAATCCTTTCTGCTCAATTAAGAAACATCACTGTGATCTAGGTCATCTTTACAGCTTTATTTCTATTCCACCATTCCACCACATCAGAGGGACAGGTGAGACAGTACGATCTGCGCAATAAAACCAATTACTCCTTGATTCCTCTCCTCCCAGAACTGCCTCTGCTAGCAAACGCTGAACCAGACTTCACCAAGGAAATGAGCGAGACCAGAAGGCTCCCTTCGTCATCTTGGCTGGGACACATTTCCATTTGATTTTCTCAGGATCCCTATGCTCTTTTGTTCTGATCGTTAGGCAACTGTGCAGCGCAAGAGCTGGTATCACTTAGAAGAAATTCCTTTTTCATGAGCACCTCTTCTTTCTCTTTGTACTATGCCTTTTAGACTGTAAGTCATGTACAAATCGGCTGGACAGAACTGGCAGAACTGGCAGCAAAGACAATAAGTGTAGTGGATGTTGTTGTTTCTCTATTTAATATGGTTTAATTACATTTATAGTTATATGTTACCATTGTTTTATACTAGATTTTTTTTATATAGTGTAAGGCACTGAATTTTTGCCGTGAATTTGTTGGACACCTCTTTGAGTCCCCCTGGGTGAGAAAAATGGTATACAAATTAAGTAAGTAAATAAAAAAATAATAAATAGTAAGGACAGGTTGTTTATCTGTAACTGTGGGTCTATGGGTGATCATCTGTGAATTCACAAAATGAGGCCAACTGTGGGATTTTGCCCCTATAACTGATGGACAGAGTCAACCCACAGCTGCCCTGAGTCTGCAAAACCAGAGCTGGCTGTTGATGATGGGGTTACTTCAAGCTCTCCCATTCATGGGCTTGCATAAGCCAAAACAGAATTGATGGCATTTAACAATAAATTAGCTATGTTTCTTTAATCAGGTCTTAGTAGCCATAGACAAAGTCTTCACTGTACATCAAAAGCAGTAGATGAAGAAAGACATTGATATGCAAAGTGAAGAAAAATAGAAAAATAGCTATTCAATGATTATTGGAATAAATTGTGCCAGGTAAACCAAAAGAAGCAGAAGACTTAGAAGTGGAGAGAATAGCTGGACGCAATGCAACATGCTTATAGGCAATGGGGGAGAGACCCCATCAAAAAGCCGCTTTGTTCTACACCAGGCGTGGGCAAACTTCAGCTCTCCAGATGTTTTGGACTTCAACTCCCACAATTCCAAACAGCTTCAGGGGGAAAAGAAAGGGGCCTGAGGCTGTTTGGAATTGTGGCAGTTGAAGTCCAAAACACCTGGAGGGCTGAAGTTTGCTCATGGCTGTTCTACACTGTTCCCAAATAGGGCTGCAGTGCAGGTGCAAACCCATTTGTGTGAGTCACAGAAAGGACAAGTAAATAATTCCCTGTTACTAGCAGATACCAAAATAAAACAGGCCCGGTAAGCTTCTTTCACAATATTGCTCTACAATTTCTGTAACCAAGTCTAATATAATATTCATCTTGCAATAATGATTTCACACCTGCAAACCGTATTGTTTATATAAATGATGCCCCCAGTGCCATTCTTCTAAGAGCGGCTAATGGATTGGATACTACATGAGTAAAGTAACCATGGTTATGTGCTCTGAGCAAGAGCTGAGCTTGTCAATGGCTCTTCTACAATGTAGGCTTTTTCAGCAGAAAACTTCCACCTGGTGCTCCCATCACTGAAATGGGGAAAGGGAGGAATATGGAGTGTTTCTCCGTATTACTGAGAAACAAGTCATATATTTCTGCCTGACATTTGGGTCTCCCCACCCAAACAATTACAGCATTTCAGAAAGAGAAGTGCCTCTGGCAATCAAATCACACGGGGGAAATGATTTAGCAAACATTTGGGGGGGGGGGGGGGGGGAAGCTTACTTCCACTCTTCAGCAAGCGTTTCTCTTCTTCCTTCAGCTTATTTTGCATCAGCCGTAAGGTGTTCTCTGCTTCCTGTATGGAAAATAAAAAAAAAATCAGATTGGCAACTGCACCACTGACTGAAGGAGAGAGTAACAAGACATGTCTTTAAGCTTGAAACTATGAGCTTGGCACAGAATGAGACTTCACAAGGAGAAATAGTATATTCCCCAGTCAGAGTGAAGCACGCCAGTCACAAGTACTACACAAGAGTTGATTCTGTACATGATCCTATTTTAAAAGTCTATCTCATCATAGACTCCTATTTCATTCTTGTTCTGAAAGACTCATGCCAGAAAGCTGCCTTGGAAGATTTTAAAAAAACACTTAATTTTTTTTTTGTAAAACCTGTTGGTCTAAAAAAAAGGACAAAAATTGTACAAATATATACAAACATATATGGCCAGATAGGTTTTGATTTATATTTTAGTTGTTAGCTTGAGTTCTAACCAGAACAGTTGTTAGAAGGGGGAGACTATATGTGGTGATTTAAAAAGTTACCATTGAATTAGGTTAACTTGTGTTACTATAATGTAGATATGTGGATCATTATTTATTTATTTGTTTGTTTATTTACAGTATTTATTTATATTCTGCCCTTCTCACCCTGAAAGGGACTCAGAGTGGCTTTTACAGAACATACATATGACAAACATTCAATGCTGATTGCACAATTAACAAGGACAGAAAACACAAAAAGAGGTAAAGGCAGTTTCCCCATCTTATTTCTGGCATCTTGGGGGCTGTGCTTAACTCCAGCCATGAGGGGAGGGGAGGGTACCTCCCTGCTAAAAGCTGCACTTATTTTATCTACTCGCATTTCTGCTTTCGACTGGCTAGGTTGGTAAGTGAGCTGGGGCTAATGGCAGGTGCTCACACTGCCACACTCGAACTGTTGACCTTACAATCTGCAGGATTTTTCTACAGCACAGCAGTTTAGCCTGATGTGCTATGCCCGGCCCTATATAACAAATTATAGCTTTGTGATAATGTCACACTAGATGCAAAGAAATCTGAACTTGACAGAAGGTTGTATGACACACAAGAAAGCAGAAGGAGAGGAAAGAGGGACTTCACATTTTATATAATTTTCAAAGGTTATAACTTTATATAATTATATAAAGTACAAGCTGCCTTTATGAGTCAGTTTAGCTCTGTAGACAAGCATCCTAAAATCCTTCAATATGACAACCTCCTTCAGTTGCTCTCCAATGTAAAAAGGGGAAATTAACAAAACAAAACCAAGTCAGGGTGACCAGTAAAATTGGATAGACGTCACTGAAAGTAATTTTCTTCCTATCTCACTCTTGCTCTAATTGGCACAACAAATGGGATTCTGTACCGAAGAGCGTCTTTAACATGATAGTGGCAAGATGCTGCATTTAAGTGCTCCTTCTGCCATTATATATCCATTTATTTCTATCAATGGATGCCATAATCAATAACTCACCAAATATCCCAAACTTCACTTAGAAAAGATGTAGCAACAGTAACTGGTTTTGAAAAAAGCTACAATGAGGTGTGTGTGTTTTGAAGCATGGTGCTTTTGAAACCTTAATTATACTGAGAGATATTTCTCTTGAAGGTGCTAAAAGCCTCAAATTAAAGAGAGGCAGTAAAAAAGTATTGTTAAAAAAAAGAACTTAACATCAGTCAAGAGGTTCAGCTCAACAAGGCTCCAAGTTAACACTTAAAACCTTCCCATTTCAGTTTTACTGGGCTTGAGTGTTGGGTAGCGTTTGGGCCCCAGCTTGGTTACAGAAATCCACTTTGAGCCCTTCCAGACAGGCCCTATATGCCAGGATCCGATCCCAGTCTCTCTGCTTGAAACTGGATTATATGAGTCCACGCTGCCAGATAATCTGGGATAAACAGAAAATCTGGGATCAGATCCTGGGATACAGGGCATGTCTGGAAGGGCCCTTTATCTCAGCCTTGGAGAAAAGTGGCGCAAGTCTTCTACAAGAGGGTTTTGCCAAGATAGTTTTACTTTTGGTCTGCTGTACATAGGAAGTGACTTGAAGTCAGTAAAAACAATATGAATAGACAATCAAAACTGGATGGCCATCTGTCAGGGATGCTTTGAATGCGATTTCCTGCTTCTTGGCAAAGGAATGGACTGGATGGCCTATGAGGTCTCTTCCAACTCTAGGAGTCTATGATTCTATGAAAACGAAGCTTTAAAGTTTAGATATTACAACTTTCCAGTTTATATAAATATAGGGGGGGGAGAGTGTTTTGTTTGGCTTCTCCTTTGGTCATCTTAGCAATAATCCAAGGCTTGATCCTAACCAACAGGGAGCAGTTGATCATTGCTTTAGAGGACAGTGATCATTACACAATCATAACCAATTTCATGGAAGAAAAAAAATGGGAAACATCTGAAAAAGCCAATGTGAGAATGGGTAAGAGGCTAGAGGACTGGAGACAGACGAAGACCGTCCCGCTCTTCAAAAAAGAAAGAGGAAAAAAGATTTGGGAAACTATAGGTGGACATCAATTGTACACATGAACTTGCCATAGCAGCTCAGAGACCAGGGAAGATGATGGAAAAGTCATGTTCTGCTTGCGTGGGCTCAAAATCACCTTGCTGGAACACAGTGTATCTTTAGCAGTGAAAAGCCTTAACCAGAATATTATCTCTGGGAGGGGAGGGAGAAGCCAAAAGGGAAAGAAATATGATGCAAATATTGGGCAAAAGGAACAATCTATTATGCCAAAAGGGACCCACTGAGGAACCAGAGTGTATTAACAGGGGGCCATTCAAAGCAAAGTATTCCCACTTCACCGGATGGCTCTTCAGGGCATTGTGATCAGTCAAGGACATCTCCAATTAAATCAAGCATGCTTTTATCACAGCAGAAATCACCTCAACAGGTCTTCTGCTTTTGTGTGCACTGCTCTCTCAGGACCCAGGGAAAATATGAATTCTAATGATTCAATAACAGTTCATTTGCTGTTCTCTTGATGTATTACGGTTCTTTTGTGCTCATTTACTCTCTCGACTGGTTGGATGTGTGCCCTTTATACTCATCTTCGCTGATGATGGGGATAACAATATCGACAGCTCGGCATCTCATTTATTTCTTATACATAAATACATCATGAACAGGCACCAGATCTCACAACTGGGCTCCTCCAAACCAGGACAGTGGAAGAAAGGATCACATCTGATCTGCCTCATATGTTATTTTCACTATTATGTGTTGCCTTTTCGCAATGGATCCCCCCCTCACCCAAATCTGAAATTCAGATTTCCAAATTCCAGATACTCAACATGTATATGCCTGGCTCACAATCACATCTAAGGCATTAATTTCCCCTATCCTTATTTGTTGCCCCCCCCCTTGCATTTATAATTTAACATTTAAATGCACAACGAAGTGCCAACTAAAGCTGCCTCAGTCCTGTTTTTGTCAAGTTTTGCACTTGTACCTTTTCACAGAGTCAAAGCATTTGTATTGACTAGCCACACTCTCACTAGAGCTTAGTCTTAACAAGGACTGAAAGAGCCCACTGTCATGAAGCTATTTAAAAGTGAAGCACAATCGAAACTAATTGGGAGAGTATTGCTTCGTTGCTGCTATTCTAATACCAGAACACTTCCTTAAGAGACCATAATAAGGAATAGCAATCCTCACTTCCCAGAAGAGTAAATCAGGTAATGATTGTATAATCGCCAGTGGTAACTTCTATTCCGACAAGCAGCATAGGTTGGTGTTTTCCAAGGTTCTACAAGAACAATTTGTACACAGGAATGTCATTGTAATGAATTATTCTCAACAGAAGTGCAATTGAAGGGAGTTAATAATCATTTCAGGATGGATTGAGCAACTCTGAAGCCTCAATTACGGCTCTCGCATCGTACCAAATGCAAATGGCAGCATGCTCTGTTCTGCACAGATGTTCAGGTGTTTTAGGCAAAGGCTGGGGTAGACTGACATTGATGGTTCTCTAAATGCCTTAGTCATAAGATAGAAAATATGAACATCAACATCAAGCCCACACCTCTTTCAATCATCCATATCTATTCAACAATAATTATGGGATGATATCTCTATGGGATGAGATTTTAAAAAAAAACATGCAGGGGTCTCATGGGCTAAAAGCTATGGGTCAAATTTCAGTAATTAAGATGAACGCATCACCAAAGATGTTGTTTTTACTCCAATCATTTCCCACCACATAAATTACGTTCCATTGAAACAATGGGAAAAAGACTTGCGAACTTCAATCTGGCAGGGGAAGAAACTTGAAGTCATTGCACAACATTTGTGAGTGCCTAGGCACCACAGTACAATGTGTAATATAGGGTGCACAACAGCAATGCACTACACAACAGGGACAACTGCAACGTACAACATACAAAGATGCAATTGCAAAGCACAGTGTGAAACTGCACCATGCAACTGCAACACCCAACAGCAATGCTGTTTCCGACACTATCAGAAGAGTAGGCTCACTGTCAATTGTTGATTTTTTGGTATTGAACTACACAAATGTACAGCCAGAATTGGATGCCAGCCAGAGTGCGACTCCAGCAGAACACCACTGAGCAAATTAATCAATGGAATGATTTCTAACGAAGATATCAAGAGCTTCTTGTTCCATTAATCTTACATTACTCCCTTCAGACTAAGGCTCTCTGAGATATGAAGAATCTTTTGCTGTCTATCAAATGCATGAAGCAGCTGGGTAATAGCCTACTTAGCGGAGCTACTAAACTGGAAAATATGTGCAGGACTGCTTGCACAAGGCAACGTCTGCTGTACAGCAACAATGGAACAAAGGTATCACACTCATGTCCCTGTGTGTCAACAATATTTCAGCCAGAGAAATAGGGAAAACACCCCATCATTTTTCATAAATTGCACAGACTTAGAGAATTAGAGTTGTAAGAGACCTCAAGGGCCATCCAGTCCAACCCCCTCCTTTCTGCCAGGCAGGAAAAGCACAATCAAAGCACCCCCAACAGATGGCCATCCAGCCTGTTTATAAGAAGGAGCCTCCACCGGATTCCAAGTCAGTGTCAACATATACCAACTGCCAACACAGACTACATGAAAAGATTGCTAATTCCTATGTACCAACAAACAAGAAAAATCCTTAGGTCACACTGGGGAAATCATATCTAGTGCGGCTACAACATGTACCAAATGCATCCACATTTCAACTATGGAATCATAGAACTGTTTTAGAACATTAGTCTCTTGGACTTGCTTCATTTCAAAAATAGGAATGAAGGGCAAAATCCTTCTATGTCAACACGTCTAATTAAAAAAAACACACATCAGAGATTAAAAAGCAACAGCAGTCGTTATGTTACCCTGGTTGTAATCCCCCACCCTGTAAACCCTCTGCATCAGTCAGGGGAGAACTTTCAGGAAACCTTCATGTCATCTAAAGTGCCGCATTAATTAAAAAGTCGAACGCTTTGTTCAGCTTTAAATTGCTTTTTCCAATTAAGAGACACAATCAAGTAAATGGCATCAGCTGCAAAACAGCGGTAGAGACCAAAAACCATTGCAACAATTACTGCTTACTCAATCATGCTGTTTAGACTGTGCACAGTTTCACCTAATACATAATCATTTGTCTGCAAACATACAGGTAGAACTGTTTCTTTACAAGGCATTTAGAGAAGCAAATTAGGCTTACCATAGAACACATAGCTATTCTTTCAGCAAAACTCCAAGAAAGGGGTGCAGGTGGCACCATTTCCTCTCTACCAGAATTGCTGAAAATTAGTTAATGGCAACCAATGGCAAATTAAATTGATAAATTATTCAAAGATCCCATTGACTATTCAGGGAAAGGTTGGAATGCAGTTATCTCTCATCTCACTGCATACTTTCTTTTGTGAAGACTGGGAAAGACAGTGATTATGAGGTACAAGAAACAGTAGGCTTCCCTAAATGGCTGAGCTAATCTAACATCGGATCAGCTTCCTTGCAATAACAGTATAATCAACTGCCCACCATTTGCAGTTCACTAGATAACATACTAAAGGGACAGTCAACACACATGGAAGAAAGAATGAAACTGCCCTTTCAGGAACATGCAACCAGGTTCCTGGCTGAGTAAAGCACCCTCATTTTGTTCTCCTTCATGAAACAACCACTTAAAATAGAACGCCATTGTCTCATTCAAGAAGCTGAAATGCTATTTGGCTATAAATAACGTATAAGCCTATGGCATCTATTCCTACAAGAGACATGGGGATGCACCTACACTGTAGGATGTATGCAGTTTAATATCACTTTAAATGTCATGGCTCAATGCTGTGGAATCATGAGAGTTGTCATTTTACAAGGCCTTTTGTCTTCTCTGTCAGAGAGACTGGTGCTGCACCAAACTACAAATCCCAGGACTTCACAGCATTGAGTCACAGCAGCTAAAGTGATGTCGAACAGCATTAATTCTACAGCTTAGATGTAATTTGAGTCACTGTCACTTCGGATCTGAAATCTACTAGGCCTTACAATATCCACTGTGGTTGAGTGCTTAACTCCCTTCTCTGTTTTTTTTGTGAATTTGCCAAAATCTTTCACAAAGCCACCTCAGCCAGTGACATGTTTGTGACTGTGAATTCCATTACAGGAATGATTATTTTCTTTCCTTACCCAAGCCCCTTGCCAAATCAGTATCACTGAATGACCTGAGTTCATTTAATAACAAGAAAAACCGGATCAACCTCATTGTTTATAACTGACACATCCATGAATAAAATGACTGGAAGGGACTTTGACAGGTTGTTCCATCTTCCTACTTCGATGTCCAGCTAAATTACTGCCATCAATTGTTTGTCAAAACTCATTTGAAGGCTTGACAGTGATGTTATGGATTTCTCAGTATCCACAAACAACCTTTAACAGAACTATGGATGCACTTGCCTTCTGAAAAGCAGTTCACTACTTTTTTTTACCCATTGCTTTGCAAACAAGCAAACTTATTAAGCCCACGTGTGACTTGCTGTTATGAAATAGGACTTTAAAAGGCAACACAATCAAGCCTAAATTCTTTGAAAAAAAGGAGTGGCACTAACTACTGTTAGTGCAACGGTTCTCAACCCGGGGTTGCGACCCCCAGAGGGGCCAACTGGCTGTTTCCGGGGGTCACAACACCGCCTCATTCGGCCCCACTTCTGACATAATAAATACATTGGTGAAGTACCCTGGAGGATAAATCTAGATGACCAGGATAAAACTGAAGATAAGAGAAACAAGGCAGAAGCTAAAAATGAATCAATGTGATACTTGAGAACAAACCCTCACCTCAAATCTTTCCTGCTCCATTCGGTGTTGGTCATCGAGTTGCTGCTCCAGATACGTAAGGTTGCGAAATTTCTCCAAGTAACAGCTATATTGTTTCTGCAGTTCCTCCTCAATTTTTTCATATTCATCCATAAAGGCTGGTCTGAAATATAAGGGAAAGGAGCAGGGTAAAAAATGTATTTTTACTTATATGATCTTGGGAAGCCTCCTTGCTCAGATCTTCATTATTTCTAGGCTGATACTAAGCACCCAATTCACAAAAAGGAGCTTAGTAATAATGTTGCCACTCAGAGGAGTGAACCATTCCTTTGAGGATGTCTCTATACACCTAATCAAACAAAGGAAATTCCTAAAGACAGGCAAGTACTGAGGAAAGGAACCAAATGACCAATTTTAGAAAGTCAAGAAGGTACGGAGCATTGGAATATAAGTTTTCTTACACAAATGAATGGCATGCATGAATACATACTTATAACGACAATTCAGCTGGAGGAGCAGATTATTCCGAAATAATGGTTCAAGTCAACAAACCTTTAAATTCAAGTCATGTTCCTGAACAAGCTGAAACACTGTCAAACACGGGAACCCCTCTGCTCAATAATTTAGCACTCTGCAAGATTAAACCAGCATGGAATAGCGGTTTGAGCATTTGACTATGGATCTGGGGACCAAATTACTGCTCAGCCATGGAAACTCGTTGGATGACCTTCCAAAACTCACATTTTCTCAGCTACAGAGGAAGGCTGAGAAATCTTGTAAAAAAACAAAACAAAACAAAAACGCCTGGCCATATGGCGAAAATGACTTGAAGGCATATAACATCAGTGCTTAAACCAAGTGATACCTTCCTTTATTTCAAGCGGCTGGCACAACTTGTTAAAGCCAACAAGAAAGATTTAAGATGTTTAGTCTGCAATAATTCATGCTAAATACCAGACAGAAGTTAGCTTGCATGCATTTAAAAGATCTATGGTTCAGATAGACCTAATACAAAATGCCTGTTGATTTTCTGTAAGCCACCAGGAGTTTTTCTTTGTTGAAGAGCAGGATAAATATTCAATGAATGAAAAAGCAAATGCCGCAACAACCGTTCTTCAAAATACAACAAAAGTGTCAAGGGACAACTTTGGGTCTCAATCAAGAGAGAAAACCGGTGAATAAATAAATAACCCCTTACCGAACACTCTGCAGAGTCTGGAGCCGCTTGTGATTCCTTTCCAACTCCATTTTCCTTTTTTCAATCTTTGCCTCCAAACTCGCTTCATCTGAAGCCACGTTATTCAACATGTCTTTGGTTTTCTGGACCTGCTCCTACAAGAAGCAGAAAGAGAAGGTTGTTTCCATTTATAATTCTGGGAGGTGTGGAGGAGCTGGGTGTCCACATGCACACGTGCCAAACTAAGAGAAAGGGGCAGAAATAATGTCACGGAGTCCTGTGCATGATAAGCTTTTAGCGCAAACAACGGTTGCAATCCTGGAATGGTTCCCAAGGTACAAAAGGAAAGAGAGGAATCTTGATTGCTTCACTATACAGTGGGAAAAGACCCTGCCCTTCGTTTTGACAATATCACACAATTGTTATGGTGAAATAAGACAAAAGAGAATCCTGTATTTTCCACAATGGTGGTTGGGATAAAAGTGTGGATAACTACAATAATTTAAAATGGTCAGTCAAGCATATCTAATTTCTTCACAGAGAAAAGTCGAATTCTGAAGCCAATTTCAAGTGGAAGGAATCCCATAATTTTATGTAATTGGTTATGTAACACATTATTATTGCATAAAGCCACAATTCTAACTACTGGGAACTTCTATCAGTTGCACAACTGGTTTGACTCCTAAACTTTTGTGGGAGGTGTGTATATTTGTGAGTCACATGTATACGAAGAAGTCAAGCACTTACAGGGATGACAAAATAATTTTTTGATAGACTTTGTGGTTAAAAGACCATGACCATTTCAAATTTCAGACCACAGTCCTGTCATTTCGAGAAGGACAAGAGTCACTCTCTGTTCTGACAATTTTAAAATATTCCTTACTCTCACTGGTTCGAGCCCTGTTCAACAGCAATATAGCATTAAGTATTAGATCAATCAAGAATGATACTCTTTAAAACTGATGTCCTATTTTTGAATGATAGGACTTTCCAAATATCCAAAGGCTCTTTCCCTGTTACATTTGTTAGTCTCTGATGACAGTCTCATGATAGTTGTAAATGGAGGGCTTTTGGTAAAGGCTGATGGGACCCATCACAACTGCATTAAGACTAAGGAAAATTTTAATTTAACTGGGCCAGGTCACTAAGAATTAGAAAACATCATCCATCTTAATTGGTTTTTAAGGCTCTATATGGTTCCAAATTGGGGATAACACTTACTTAGCAATAAACTAGCAACCTTAAATGGATGCAGCAATAGATAGATTGGACTATACCATTCATTTTTGTGAGTTACCATATCTGACCCATATAGAGCTATGACTATGTATAGATGGAAGATGATCAACTATATCAGAGGCATGAGCAAATTTGGGCTCTCTGGGTGTTTTGGATTCCAACTCCCACAATTCCTAACAGCCTCAGGCCCCTTCCTTTTCCACTTAAGCTGCTGAGGGGGAAAAGGAAAGGGCCTGAGGCTGTTAGGAATTGTGGGAGTTGGAGTCCAAAACACCTGGAGTTTGCCCATGCCTGAACTCTATACTCTTTTCACATTAAACTAGTATTAGTTAAATTGTTATTTTGGCTGACTTAAGAGCATAACTGATTTAGAAATCAAGGAAATGGAGTCTGGGAATGACAGCCAAAATGCGTCACAAAAGATGAATGCATTAATGACCTTCTAATCTTTAAAACTGGCTAATTAGGCAAGAGGGAATACCTTGACATTTAAGCACCTAATGGATTTGTTTTATTAGTCTGCTTCATAAGTTGTATTGAACCAGCTAATTTTAAGTAATTTTGTAAAACATAAAATGAAGTGTGGTAATATTGCCGTTTCCTGAAGCAGCTGTTTGTAATATCAACTGCTGTTGAAATACATTTGGAAGTTATTTAGAAGTATTTTTGAAGTTAGCTGACTTTAAAGTGCTTTTCCCAACTTTCTTGCAAACATTGTTCCCACTCTTTCCATGTAAATACTGTATTTCGACTTTTCTGATTCATTTATTCTTTTCTCTTTCTATCCGCTCTTTCTAAGGAGCAACATATTCCAAATAAAAACATTTTTTTTAAAAAAAGAAATATATTTGGGATCTGGATTCTTTTCAGCAGGTGGACAGAGAGAGAAAAACAAATCTTAATTACACAATGTTTTTATTTATGATAACACAGTGGAATTCTTCTCTCGGGAAATAATTTTGCATTCACCCAGCAGCTTAAGGTTAATTATCTCAGCCCCAGCTTAAATTATTTAAAACACAGGTACAAGAACAGTAGTCTGTAAAACAGTTACAAGGTTGTTATGAAGAATGCTGAGATCAAACAAGATATGGCAGCAGCAGTCACCTTTGTTTAATTTATCATCTGTCTTGTTCATATAGACATTTTAACAGCAAAAAGGACATACAAGTATGGAGAACTGATGACACCAAGTCCTAACTTTGCCCCCAAATTCTTTCTTTTCCTTTCCCCTCTGAGATTCCCATTTCAGAAATAAGATGTCTTGTAGCAATGTGTCACCAAGGGGGTTTGAGAGTTGAACATTTGCCTTATCTCATTAATGTAACAGTCTGAATATAAACATTGGACTGCTTCCTTAAGCAGACAATTGATAGAAGAAGCATGGCTGTGACCCATCAGTTCAGACACACCTCTAAAATAAATGATCATTCCAGCTTTGCCAAAGATCTTGTTTCGACCAGGAATGTGCAAGACACAAAAACAAGGAAGCACTGAAAGGACAGCATATTTGACAGCAGAAGTTCTAATCTAAGGTAACTGCATTTAGTGAAAAAGGAATATTAAAAACCTTGAATACTGAATGAGGAAACCTATTTTCAACTATATATATATGTATACTCACCAAAATGTCTTTGATGGCAACTCTCATCACCTTTTCAGTCTCATTTATCTCCAGAGGTCTGGCAATTGCTTCTGTTCTCATTTCCTGAAAGATGAAACCACAAAAGAAGCCGTCAGAGGCTGAGCCTTTAATTAATACCCGCTGAAATGCAAGGAGCTGGGCTGCTCTGACAAAGGAATTTGAATAACAAATGGAAAGTAGTCTAATATTTATGCAGCCTGAATTAAGAACCTTCAAAGAATGGGAGCCCATTAAGGTTAGCAAAAGACTTTGTGCTAAATGTTTTCAGGTTTGACACTTTTTGAGGGTGCCAACTAAGTACACATATGTGATAAAACAATTCTCGATGAACCTGATGGGATCGACCTGAGAACATAGAAAAGCCAGATCAGATCAATGCCACTCAATTTCAACATATTGTTCCCACGGTGGCCAAGCAAATGTCTCCTGGCATCTCACAAATGCACTTAAGTGCCATGGTAATTACAAGATTGCATGAAATAAAAGCCATCGTAACTGCTTGCATGCTAACAGTTAACAAAAGGGAAAAAAACTGAGAAAGTTAAGAAAGAAACAAAGTGAGGAAAGAATGAGAGGGGATAAGTAACATGTGAAAAATGCCACACATTTCTTTAGGACTTATTTCAGTTGCAGATGCAGAGATGTCCAAATGCCCAAAGATCACAGTCTCCCAAAGCAGTTACTCTAATCCCAACTCAAGAATGGAAACCGAAATGTTGGCGGACAGGAAAAGAGATTTAAAGATGGGCTTAAAGCTAACCTTAAAAACAGTACCATAGGAAGAACTGGGAAGCCCTGGCCCTTGAGCACTCTAACTGGAGGTCAGCTGTGACCAGTAGTGCTGCAGAATTTGAAGAGGCACAAATGGAGGGTGAAAGGAAGAAATGTGTGGAAGGTGCTTCAAGCCAACCCTGAGTGAGACAGCCTTCCACTGTGGAAGAACATGCGGGTCAAGAAATGGGCTCCTCAGTCACCTACGCATGCACCGGCAAGACACTACACTTGGAAGGCTATCATACTCAGACAATGAGGGATTGCCTAAGTAAGTAAAGTAAAGTTGCCTTATTCATATAAAGTGTGATGTGGATGACTATAATTTGGCTTATAGAGCTAAGATATGTGCATTTGCTAACACCATGCAGCCCCTTCATTCTTTCACACACACATAATGTTCTGATGCTAAAACATCAGCAGTGTCTTTGCTGAATCAATATTTGGCAACCTGAATCAATACTTGGGAGTATAGAAGAACCTCAGGCAGAAATCATCAATGCAGGTATTCTAGGACAAGCCTAGGATAAGCTTTGCACATCTGGAACCTATCATTTTTACCTATTATTCCTGACAAAATTGCTCTAGTCCCGTCAGTTTGAATGAGGACTATTGACGAATAGCAACTTTCAAGGCCTGGAAGAGATGATCAGTCAGACTGAGGTCTCAGCTTTGACTGGGCCTGTCTAAGACACTCTACATTACTTTAACTCTATGTTTGGGACCTAGCTGTTCTAGAGGTTCCTTCTAGAATGGTCTTGAATTTGTTTCTATTCCAGCCTGTGTTGAGGAAAAGCATTCCCATTCCAAAACCACAACACTACTATTATGACGTGCTTCACTGAGGGGACTTTGTACCACACGCAGCTTTTTTTTGTGACAAGGTCTTAACTGAGAACCTTTTCCCACATGCTTTCATAGGGTTATGGTTCCGCAATGGCTTTCTTCTTCCCGCTTTTCAAAAACCATCTGCTTGATGGAGCATCCAAGTGACATCTCTGCTCTGCAGCTGTAAATCTCAGGCTACATGGTATTTACCAGATGAATGTTGTGCTACTGCATGAAATATGCAAACGCAATGTACCTTCCACTGCCTGGCAATTTATAAAAAATTGGGCTATTTATTCCCAAGGGAACAGCTAATATGCCCTCCATTCCATATAGGTTTGTTACTTTGCAATTCAGATTGATAATGCAGCCATGCAATAAAGAGGCTGTATATGGCTTTTTTAAATTGCTGCCTTGTATGGCATTTACAATAATTGAGTTGGATACGTAACATTTTAAAAGGAATTAGGATTCTTCCTCATGAACTCAATATGCATGTTCAAGTCTTCTTACATGAAAAGAGACCTGCCAAAGATGATTTTTGCAACTGTCAGATGACGTGAAACACCAACAGTAGTCAGACAGTCAAAGAAAAACTGGTGAACACTGCTGGCAGAGTTGTCTAGGTCTTTACCTGTTTAAAGACTGTTTTATTTATTTATTTTACTGTATTTGTATACCACCTTTCTCAGCCAATCGGCGGCTCAAGGCGGTTTACAACAAATCAGTACATATAAAAACTTAATACAGATTAAAACATTAAACAATATAAAACACCACAAGCAATAAAAACAACATCATTAGTGTCTCATTATTATCAAGCATTGTCCAGTTCCATTGTCAAATAGTTAGATTTCCTATATTAGCTACTCTGCATTGGTAAACGCTTGCTCGAACAGCCATGTTTTAACTTGCCTCCGAAACTGTTGTGTTTCTATGGTCTATAAGGATTTAATCATGTAGTTTACTCTATATGACTGAACATCATTCAAACGTTATAATGGATTCTAGTATCCACTAAAAATGTATTGGTTTGACAAAGTCTGATGGTAAAGATTCAACATGTTTTTGTTTCCTTATGCAAGGTTTACATGATCTGCCCCACCCCATTTCATGTTAATACTATTTATTTTTGTACTAGGTGTACCCGCCATGCGTTGCTGTGGCCAACCTTCCCTCCCTCTTTCTCTCCTTCCTTCCCTCTTTCCTTCCTTTCCTCTTTTTCTTTCCCTATCTCTCATCTTTCTTCCATCTCTACCTGTTTCTTTCCTCCCTTTCTTTGCTCTTTGGTTACATCCTTCCTTCCTTCCCTATCTTTTTCCTTTCACTTTTTTATTTCCTTCTCTCCTTCCTTGCTTCTCTATCTTTCTTTCCCTCCCTGCTTCTCTCTTTCCTTCCTTCCCTTTTTCCCTCCTTCTCTCGTTACTTCTTGACTGTCCCTTCCATTTAATATTGTATTTGTATCTTAGAAAGAAGGAAAGAAAGAAGGAAGGAGGGACAGGAAGGAAGGAAAAGAAAGAAAGAGGGACAGGAAGGGAGGGAGGAAGGAGGGACAGGAAGGAAGGAAGGAAAAGAAAGAAGGAGGGGCAGGAAGGGAGGGAGGAAGGAAGGAAGGAGAAAGGAAGGAGGGGGATGAAGAAAGGAGGGAGGGAAGGAAATGAAGCGGAAGGAAATGAAGCAAGGGAAAGAAGGAGGAAAGGGAGGGAGGGAGGAAGGAAGGAAAAGAAGGAAAGGAAGAAGGAAGGAGGGAGAGGAAGGAAGGGAAGGAGGGAAAGAAGTAAAGGAAGGAGAAGGAAGGAAGGAAAAGGAAAGAAAGGAAGGAAGGAAAGGGAGGAAAGAAGGGAAGGGAGAGAGAGAGAGTTGGTCCTTCATTCAAGCACCGTGGACCTTCCTCGCCTCCTCCCCCTCCCCCCTCCTCCCCTTCTTCCTTGCGTGGATGCTCCGTTGCTGCTGCCATTGCTGCTGCTTTCCCAACAGGAGACTGCTCTCCTGACATAGGAGGGAAAGAGAAGGCGCTGAATGCGCGCCTCCACCTCCACTCCACTCGCTTGTGTGTGTGTGTGTGTGTGTGGCCGTGCACGTGCGCCTGGCTTTAAAGGCTGGCTGTTTCCCCGCGAGGAGGAGGGGTGTGTGGCCATGGGTCTCTGTAGACATGCAGTTTCCCCTTTGTGGACATGTAGTTTAGAAGTCCTTTCTGCTTTTTGTTTCTGTTGTTTTTTTGAGTGGAGAACATACATTGGGTTGTTAGGGACATAGTGTCCAAATTTGGTGTCAATTCCCCCAATGGTTTTTGAGTTCTGATGGTATCACAAATGAACATTACATTTTTATTTATATAGATAAAAAGTTTGCCATAACATGTTGAATTGCTCTTCATTTCTGTAGTTTAGGAATGTATTCACATTCTTTCAAAATGTTTTTTTTGCCCTCTGGTGCCACATTTCCAGTTAAAGAAGTAATTCCCAGGAACACATTTACTTCATTAACATGGGGGCAAATATATGCACTTCTTAAAGTAAGCGATGGAAGTTGACAATTCCCCAAGGAATGACTGTACAGAGCACAAAGGCTCAAAGCTTAATAAAGAGAAAAACTTCATTAGAGAAAACAGAATCAGCCACAAGGAGGCAACACAATGAGAAGCAGAAAATTAGTAGTCTGGAATGGAAAGACGGATGATGCTCACAAAAATAAAACTTGAGAAGGCAGACCATGTTTACAATGTGTGGAGCAATCTGGAGGATGAAAAGTATCTCAGGTGAAGGATGAACATCTCAACATGACCATTGTGTGGAAATGGGTGGAAATGGGTCTCCTGCCAAAAGACTTCGTTATCTCTTGATGTTTCCAAACTAATTCTCAGCACTCATGAAAAACAACATCCATATGAGTCATTGAAACCTCAAAGAATGTTTGTCAGGTAAGAAGCATGCCCTCCTTGTTGGACATTTTGCTGAATGCATACCACAGCAAACAAGCTGTTTTAGCATGAGAGCTGCGGATGAGAAAAAGCCTCTGCTCTCTGAAATTTCTATACAGCATTCAAAATTATCATATTTTACACAGGTAAGTAGATATCAATAGGTGACAGATTATTGACAGACATGTAGGTAAATAGACAGACAGGAAAATTGATTAGGTAAGTACGTAGACAGCTAGATCTTTTAAAAAAAGTGTTGCATCTCAATTTGTAGTTTTGAACATACACATACTTAGCCGTCATCATTATAGTAAGTTTCAAGATCTATTAAAGCCCATGGTATCAAAACCTTCGCTATGAATGTTTCCTTCCACAGGATTGAGAGCAGGTAACTCTCAAGACTCAGAATGGCTGTCAATAGGGACCTGGATTGTTGTCATTCTTTCAATATTTGTGCAAGACCAAGATCTGCTGTCTTGATGTAGATCAATGATGGGGAATAGAGGACTCCAACGTCTCTTTCCAATAGTCCAGGCATTTTGAT